GATCTATTATCTTCGACTGTGCATGGTTAAATCTTTTATTAAAACATCCCTTAATTACCTGTCTGCATAAATTAAACCTTACAGCGGGCGCGGTAGACGTTGCGATCTCGTGTTCACGTTAGCCGCCTGGCGTTTGCGTGAGTGTGACGTGTTGTCAGAGGTGTAAAACATGGACGACGATGTTTTATTTTTAACCGAAAATTCATACCTAAAGTGGAAGATGCTAAAAATTAGAATTGGTGTGCAACAAATTAATAAAGAAAGAGACCTTTATGCTTAATTTTATACCTTACATAGTAATTTGAGAGAACATCCTTTAAGATTTTTCTGGATATACCGGAATTACTGTAAACTGTTTTGATTACATACTGGATTCAATAAGAAGTGTCATTTCAAAAGAAGACTTAAAAAAAAGTGCTATCGTTTCTAGCGACAAACTCAAAATGGCGAATGAACTTAGCTGACGTCGCGAGTGCATAGCGCGCTCCGTCGCTAGTTTGGCCGCTACTTAGACCGCGCGTGAATTTCGTGCGTGAACACTTGGATGCCAAGTCGCAATTGTGTTTGGTATTTCGTGACAACGTGACAACGTGACCGCAGGAGCGTGCGCGAGGCGGTGGCGGCGGGCATGCGGCGTGCGGTGGCGGCGGGCGCGCGCAGGCCCGTGCTGGCGCTGAGGCCGCTGCGCCCCCCCGCCACCGCCGCCGCCGCCGCCTTCGCCCCCGCCGACGCCTGGCGACGCAGCGAGCTGGTGGCGCTGCTGGCCGCGCTCGAGGCGCTCTACGTGGTGCGTATCGCGACCACGATAGGGATAGGCGACAAGCGACAAGCGAGAGTATTACCACGGATATCCATTTGCATCGAACGGGTGTAGTACAAGTGATTACCGTGAAGTAATAGAATCATTACAGTCGTTTCGAAGCATCATTACGCTCCTGCTTACAAAGTGGATTTAAGTTCTTTTTTTAATGTGTATTTCGTTTTGTATGAAAAGATATTATAGTGCCAAATTGCACATTTTTATGGTATTTGCGGTAGTGGAGCACAGTTTACATTGTGACCATAGGCTCCATGCATGTCATCAAAAGAACAGTTCACTCAATTGTTTTACCTTTAAAAAAAAAATTCTTAGTCCTATTTCCTTTTGAAAATTTTTAATTTGTTTTTGATTTTGATTTTGAAATGTATGTTAGAATAGATATAATGATATAGGAAATTATATATTTTATACTATTTTCCTCTTAAAATATTGCATTTAAATTTTAATCTACATTTACTATGTAAAAAGTGTTTAGAGATACGTAACCGATACATACATATTCACATACATTTACGTACATTTCACTTGCGTGCATTTATGTATGTAGTATGCTTAATTTAAATCAGTATGCGGTTCGCTTCCATCGAATCAATACCAAAACGATTATTAATATCGCGTATTAAATAAACATTTTAAGCCAGTAATTAGTGAATAGTGATTTGTACAATATTATTTAGGTACCATTATGCCACAGCATTATTTATACTGGCCAAGAGACATTTCCTCAAAAAGAAAGAACGTCATTAGATAGCTATTTGTTGCGATACGTGAGCGAGTGTTGAGGGCGTGCGTGTGCGTGTGCGCTTCAGCCGCTGGAGGTGCGCGAGTCGTTCCCGGAGCGGCTGCCGCGGCTGCGGGCGCTGGGCGTGTGGGACTGCGGCGTGGGCGCGGCGCTGCCGGCGCTGCTGCGCGACGCCGTGGCGCTGGAGCGGGGCAGGTGGGTGGCGCTCTGCGTGCGGGAGCCGCCGTGGGCGCGATGGTGAGTAACGGCGAGTGCGCGCAGGGCGCTGGCGCGCGACATCGGCGGCGCGGACCCCGAGCGCATGGCGCCGCCGCGGCTGGCGCGGCACGTGCGCGACGCGTTCGCGGCCGGCGCCGTGCGCGTCTCCGTGCTGGAGGGGCCCGAGCTGCGCGCCCGCTACCCGCTGCTGGCCGCCGTCGCGCGCGCCGCCGACCCGGTGCCGCGCCACCGCAGTCAGTGCCTCCACACACGCACACGGCACACCGACACGCGCAAACCTAGAGTGCGATGCTCTCTAACCGACTGGTTCCATTATTTCAGGTTGCGTCATATTTCTGGATTACGAACCGGAGTCTTATGAAGAGACCGTAATGTTGGTCGGAAAGGTATGTTACGAGTTATATTGATCTTACGTCTATGTCTATACTGTCCCATATACTAAAACACACATTAGATTTACACGATTCATACCACTTATACGAAAGTAGATATCGAGCCTTATACTGTGCTATGTTAATTATAATTAAATCTAATGGCCGAACATTCTTCTGAAAAACATTTAATCGGACCGATTTTGTGTTATACCTCTAAGAAGGTGTGTTTGATAAATAATGCGCTTAAAAAAATAACAAACGTTGTCTGTCCTTACATACTGAAAATTTTGTGTTGTATACAAATCGCATCTAAATGTTTACTAAATATAACAATTCTTTCGTAAGGAATCCAATAACCAAAAAGTAGTTTGTAATAATTTTTATCAATTAATTGTTCCATGGGTGATTTGTTTTTTGACGGCGTAAATCAAACATGTGTCAAAGGAAGCCGCCCTCAGCAAACCGCGCGCGTGGGATAAGCCTACCAACGAGAAAATATAATTACGGACATTGAAATTCAATGCCTATTTCTATGGTTCCTGCGTCAATCCATGCCTTAAGAAGGCAGTTCTTGCATCTATGTCAATGTGAGTTCAATGTCTGAAATTATCTTGTCTCAGTTGGCCTTCCTTTAGTTATACTACATGCGTATACAGACTGCAGACTGTAGTTTATTTATCCCGTTAAGAGTGGTCACCGTATTGATAAGCGGTTTAGTAATTAAGTATGCGTTCAGCAAAAAGTTTTACTGCTCGTGAATAGGTTATTGTATTGAGACGATAGGGCAGGAATTTCTTAAGGTGTCCGTAATGTTTTTAAAAATTAAAAATAATTTATGAAAAAAAATCTGACGTCTCAAGGACGTACCAGATTTAAAATCAAATTCTGCATATGCTCTGTTAATATGTCCGTCGTCTATAAAATCACCATGTACATTCGATTCAGGGTTATGTAAGGAAAACAAACAAATGCATACGAAGATTTCTACTTTTTAATGGTACATTTTTTTACCATCACACACATACGCACATTACGCACATCGATATCGAAGTAGTGAAGAAAGAATTAGAACTTTGTATATTATTATAAAATGTGTTGGAATGCAACGACGCCTGTGGTCGGTCAGGGCGTGACGTACGACACGGGCGGCGCGGACGTGAAGACGGGCGGCGCCATGGCGGGCATGTCGCGCGACAAGTGCGGCGCCGCCGCAGTGGCCGGCTTCGTGAAGGTACGGCGGGCGGGCGCTTGTTGCACGCAATTAGTCGAGCTTGCTCTGAGAGCGTGTGCGCGGCCGCAGGCGTGCGAGCTGGTGCGGGCGCGCGTGCGGGTGCGCGCCGCGCTGGGCGTGGTGCGCAACTCGGTGGGCGCGGAGGGCTACGTGGCCGACGAGCTGCTGCGCTCGCGCGGCGGGCTGCCCGTGCGCGTGGGCAACACGGACGCCGAGGGCCGGCTCGTGATGGCCGACCTGCTGCACGAGATGCGCGAGCTGGCCGAGGCGGCGGCGCCGGCCCCTGCGCACCTGTACACGGTGGCCACGCTGACGGGGCACGCCGTGCGCGCGGCGGGCGAGGGCTACGGCGTGGCGCTGGACGGGCACGCGGCGCGCGCGCGGCGCCACGCCGAGAAGCTGCGCGCGGCGGGCGACGCGCTGGCCGAGCCGCTCGAGGTGTCGCGGCTGCGGCGCGAGGACCTGGCGGCCCACCGCGGCCGTGCGCCGGGCGACGCGCTGCTGCAGGCGGCGCCCGCGCCCTCGGTGCGGCTGCCGCGCGGCCACCAGGGGCCCGCCGCCTTCCTGCTGCTGGCGGCCGGCCTGCTCGACGCCGACGTGCCCTACACGCACCTCGACGTGGCCGGCTCGGCGGGCAGCTTCCCCGCGCCGCCCACCGCCGCGCCGCTGCTGGTGCTGGCCGCCGCCCACGGCCTCATCACCAGCTGCTGAGCCTCGATCGCTTCGCGGGCACCGTGCATAATAATACTACGCATAATACATATTTACACTTTTGTCAATTTTAATTTGGTTTTATTTCAATTGCATCTAGAAATATTATTATTTCAACACCATCGACTTCATTCTTTGGTTTCATTTTTTTCACTGGAAAGCGTGTAAGAAAAAAAAATATTCCCTTCATAATAATATAAATTATTTTGGAATATACAGCGTGTCGTTACCATCGCGACAATAAATGAACACACATATAGAGGATAACTTTTTAAAGATGTATTAAACATTTAAATTCTTTAAACATCAATATTTACAAAGTTATTAAATTTTCCAAAACAAAGAATTTTAGAACACCCTTACCTATAAAATCGTAACGTAAAGTTCATTTGTAAAGGTCACAAAGCATATGAATGGGTTGAATGAATTTAAAAGAGACAAAACATACTGTTAGAAGGAGAGGCTTGTAATGCGACGCTGAGGCGCGAGTTGTATAGGATGTTACAAATTTTGTTTCTTTATTACTTAATTAGTTTGTTTGAAAAATATATTTTTTTTTAATAATGGATTTTGTTTAACGTTAATATTTTTTTATGATTATTGGCAAGTAGCGTTAGGCGTGTGTTCATTTATTGTCGCGATGGTAACGACACGCTGTATACAAATATAAATTATTTATTAAGATAGATGTAGCAAAAATATGATGAAAAATAAGGCGAAAAGTTGCATGCGTGAATTTATTAAATGAAAATACAAAACCATTTCACTTAAGACACGTCTCGTTGAAATCGACCGGACGATTCGACGGATCTTTGTTAGGGATCGTCCACGTAGAACTCGGGCTGCTTCGGTTTTAAAGGCGTCTGATACGCTAAACAACACGCAGTTAGAATAAAATTCATTAATACTAAATCACAATTCAAAATTACTAACTTTTGGCATAAAAAACATACCGGGGAATGTACTTGGGACTTCGGTTTCCGTATCATCCTCGTCTTGAGGCACGTCTGGCTCATCTGAAAACAGCAATCGAAATAGGTCCTCACATAATATTTCTTCCCCGATCACTCGTTCATTAATACTAAATCACAATTCAAAATTACCTAAAACATTAAACTTAAAACATGATATAGGGTTAGAGTTATTTATATTTGTTCCAAATTGTGACGAGGAGATGAGATGAATACTACGCTACTATTATATATTGTTTATTATTAACGCTACAAGATATTCACATGACAGTGTGCGTTCGCTAGCTCCTTGCGATGAACTGTACTGCGCTGCACAATGTAAGGCGCATGGGGCGTTCGACTAATATCATTCGACTAATATCATATTACATTGTGTCGCCACAATGACATTAAAAACATACCAGGGAGTGTACTTGGGACTTGGGTTTCCGCAACATCCTCATCTTCCGGCACGTCTGGCTCATCTGTAAACAGCACTTTTTCAACGTGGTACAGCCACGCATCGGCATTGCAGATGCTGAATTGAGCTGGCTCAAACCGGGGAAGTACCACGGTCTCACAGAAGATCGGCGTGAAGTAAAGGTATTTAAATTTATACCTTTGCGTTTCGTCCGGTGAGTAAGGTTGCCGGAGCACTTCTCTCTGAAGTCTCTAAGATTACGTCTTTGGGACACTGGGAAATTTTGCAACTGGATCACTAGTTTTCTAACTCATCGGAGCATCAAGGTCGTTGTTGACGGTGCTTGCACCGATGCCAAATTTGTGAACGCTGGTCTCCCACAAGGATGTGTCCTGTCCCCTACGATGATATGATATTTGCAACATTCATTGCTATGCGGATGACACTACGGGTGACAATTATATACCGGCTGGGCAAATATTTCTCAGGAATATGTTGAAGAGTGCCGGAATAAACTTGTGTTTGAAGTCGAGGTTTTGTTACGCGAAATCTCGGATTTGGGCCGACTAAATTTAGTCCAATTTAACCCCATGAAGACATAGGTTTGCACGTTTACCTCGAAGAGGAAACCCTTCGTCGTATCTCCCTCTTTGAAGGCACTCTCCTTGTTGCCACCGATTCGATCGGTCGATATATCGAGCGGTGGTTTCGCGGTCATTTGCAAGGAAAAGCCAAGCTGCACAACGTTTGCAGCATTATAAAGCACAGACTCAGCCGCACATGGAATACTGTTCTCACCTCTGGGCTGCGGCACCGAGATACCAGCTCCTTCCATTTGAACGTATTCAACGACGACCTGCTCGAATCGTCAACGACCAAATCATGTCAGATCGCCTCGACTCTTTGGCCTTGCGAAGGTATGTTGCATGATTTGCATTTTTTATCGGATATTTCATGGGGAGAGCTCTGAGAAGTTGTTCGGGTCAAACTACCAAGTACCATCGACACCATCTTGATGGTTGGCGGTCCACAACCGTGTGTTTTTCACGCAATTTTCTACCCCGCACAACTACTTTGTGGAACGTGTTGTCGCCAGGTATTTCCGGAGCGATACGACTTAGGGACCTTCAAGAAGAGAGCCTACTCCTACCTTAAAGGCCAGCAACGTAATTGCGACCGAACTGATGTTGCAAGTGTCCATGGGCGGCGGTGATCGCTCATCGTCAGGTTACCCGCATGCTCGTTTGCCTCCTTTTCCATATTAAAAAAAAGAGCTCGACATCGGTTCTTTTATAATATTTCTTTCTGATCACCCACTCGTTAATACTAAATCACAATTCAAAATTACTAACTTTTGGCATAAAAAACATACCAGGGAGTGTACTTGGGACTTGGGTTTCCGCAATATCCTTATCTTGAGGCACGTCTGGCTCATCTGAAAACAGTACTCGACATCGGTCCTTCCATAATATTTCTTCGCTGATCACAAATTTCAAATTGACATAAGTTTCTTTTTGTTTTCATATAGTGACACTTACTCTAACGACTATGTGAAATTATCTTCTTCTTTTATTATATAAAGAGGAAAGATTTGATTGTTTGTATGTATTGAATAGGCTCCGAAACTACTAAACCGATTTGAAAAATTCTTTCACTGTTGAGAAGCTACATTATCCCTGCTTGATAAAGGCTATATTATATTTTCAAAAAATTAGGGATCCTTACTAAAACTCCAATAATGTTACTCAAGGTGTACAAAAATTACCTAGAATATTCTTTACATCGCGTGCGCTGCGAAAACTATTGATGATAGAATAAAATAATTTACTACGTCTTTGCAGACCACATCATTATTTACAAAAAGTGTCGCGACAGCATATGTCTAACTATTATAGTTATGCCACAATTCGTGTTCTTTTATTTTAAAATTTTGATTGAAATGCCGCCGCTAACAAAGGCTCTTTATTTGTATTTTATTTGTATTAATCCTTATAAAAATAAATTACTTCATATTTAAAACTGTTTCAATATCTTTATATAACTTTTTGAATTATTAAATTCGGACATTCCATTCCTTAGATATTCCAAGTTTAAAAATGTTAGTATATTGTAATTTAACTATCCAAAAAGCTTAGTGACTGACTTAGCAGTTCTTATAATTTTTCAATCACATTTATACTGGGAATTCCTGTTCAACAGTTAGCAAATTATTTAATACTAAGGAAGTTTAATTTTTTTATCATTTTAAAATGCCCAAAAGATCAAGATCTCATCTTTCTAGAAATAGTTCTCAGGCGAGGACATTAAAAATACGTTATATGAGGAATCTTTACCGGAAACTGAAAATCGTCTTACAAGTCGGAGAGAGTCAAGTAGTGTTTGCAGTGGCTTGAAGAGCATAATAATATAAATATACAAATTCACACTAGGAAATCGAGGTCTGAGCGTTCCCAACGTACACGAGATTAGAGAAAAAGATAACAAACGTCAACGACTAGAGTTCGTAATCGAGTTTTAGCTCACAGTAACAGATCAGCTTTCATGCATTTTGCTGTCATGCAACAGTCTTCCGTCCAAATCGTAGCCACGAATAAGATCTGCTCTAAGTGTTCTGCCAAAAATGGGTCGATTAAAGGTAGTCTCCCCAATATTGAGGAGCGGCCACAACCAATAAAAAATCTTTTTACAAATAATCATTCACCATCAGGACATTTTTAACCAACATCCGAAAGTACAATAGCCTCTTTCAAATGACTTCGTTTGACGCGAACTTTTAAAATAGAGGGACAAGTATACAAGTTATCATTATCCTCCTGCCCCTATCCCATCTAGGTGGGGTCGGCACAACATGAATCATGTTGCAAGCGGTTTTGGCTATATCTTTACAACCAGCCGCCTGCTTGACGTCAACTCTCCTTGGGAAACAAATACCCAGATCAAATTTCAACTGTGTAATTATCACGGTTCATGTATCTCATAGAAAGTTCACAGAGGGACAGACAGACAGCAGAGTCTTATTAATGGGGTCCCGTTTTACCCTTTGGGTACGGAACCCTAAAAAGGCTCTAGAGATATAATGTTGCACGGTAGACACGGCCAACTTAAAAGGGTCTCTGAGTTACACCGATTGTATGATCCACTTAAATATACCTTAATAGTCGTAATAGGAGAAGATAGTTAATATTTGACTATTCCTCAGCAAGGTACTGTGTGTAACAAAACTGTGACATGCATGCAATTTTATGTATTTAGGTTGATGGTTAGACCTTTTTTTTTGTTGACGTGGGGGAAATGCCTACGCATACCCGCCCTCGCGGGGGCAAGAGCGGGTTATGTCGGACTCGTACCGACTAAAACCCCCACGATGTTACACCTGGGCGCATATCGGCAGGGTCACGGGAACGCTTTCGCACACCTCCGCGACCCTGCCAGTGCTGGCTGCCTTAGCAGCCCCCTCACGTGGAGCAACTCCCCTCTCCTCCAGGTGAGGCGCGCTGGAACACTCAGCGCGTGGCTCTACCTCTACCAGACTCGACCTGTCCCCTGCACCCTCCAGCACGCATCCAGAGTAGGCTCATTATGCCCACTCGGAGCGGCCCTCTCGGGCCGGCCTTACACCACAGGCCGGCCCAGTGTGGGTTCCTCTTAGCTTCGCCGTGGGTGACCAAGCCACGGCTACTAAGCCCCTCCGCCACGTCAAAGCGGGAACCTGGTCGGAGGGGTGATGGTTAGAGCTACCTGTTTTATAAGGTCGGTACGGAACCCTTCGTGTGCGAGTCCGACTTGTCTTGGCTGGTTTTTATTCAATACTTTGTCGATATGATGGCAAAAAGATATCAGAAAGATGGCATTATATATGATGTCGTGATCACCAGAGACTGAGGGCTGGTGAAACATTCATCTTAGAGACGCTTTAAATCAAGACATTGGCCCATCAAATATTGGTCAACGCGTAATCTGCAATGTCATATTCATTTACAAGTTCTCCGAGTTTTCTGCATTAAATAACCAAAGATGCGATGACTTATGTCCGAAGCTATGGGAGACCAGACTTATTTGTCACTTTTACATGTAACCCCGAATGTCCCGTAATTAAAGCGGTCCATTATCTGGTCATTAAAACATGAAGAAATTCATAAAATTAATCACCAAAGACGAAATATTCGGAAGGTTTAATGTGTGTGTATGATAATCTTTAATTTTAAATTTTGATGTTAACCGTATTGTTACCCGTGCGAAGCCGGGGCGGGCCGCTTGTATAAAATAAATCTCATTGAACAGTTCTCTGACCTGATGCTATGTCTACATCTGTGGTAAATTTTTCTTCAGTAGAAACATCGTCCAATTGCGGCTTTTCTGTTTCCGTGGCGCCATCCTCACTCACCGCTGCATTAAACCGAATTGAATGTGAATAACGTAAGAGGTACGGTATCTGTATCAGTCAAAACGATGTCGACTTACAAGAATCGACGTTTTCAGTACATCGAGTCGAAAATTCTGTGAAACAATAATTCAATTGTAAATAATTTTTTTTTAATGATTATAAAAAATTGAGCTATGCGTTAGCAGGATAACGTTTTTGTTGCTATAAATTAACAGGTTTTAAGAAAGAAAGTAAATACATTTATTTCCCAAAAAAACACAACAAAAATTTTACAAAAAATAAAAGAAATTAAAAAAAATTTAAATAATACACACAACAGTAAAGAAAACAAAACAAAATCTGTACATAAAAAAACTATTTCGATATAAAAACAAAAGAAAAATAAATCAATTTAAAGGAAAAGATTTGTACGCCCTATTATCGGTAAATTAGGCCAGCACTCAGCGTTATGATGTGCCGGAAGTCAACACCGCAACACAGCGCTGATTTTCAGTGCTAACCTTCATACTTCATGATAATTCGATTCGATGCCACACTGACCCATATACAGCAATATAATATAAAAAAATTAAGATGTAATAATGAAATATTTTAAAATCTAACGTATTTAAAATATTAAATTAATAATATTATGACTTTAACAAGTAAGAGGCACATCAACAATATGTCGGATCTCCGATCTTCACAATCACACTCTGTATTAGAAAAATTATATAAGTACTAGTAAAAACAATATATCAATTCCTAGAGAAATTAAGAATCGTTTAGCTTTCTTGAAATATTAATAGCTAATAATTTTTGTATTTTTTACTTTTTTATCTATTTCAGTTTCCATTCGGGTTGGAAGAAGGCTTCGGTCTTGCCACGTTGTAGATGATTACTATTATCAAATAGTATCTGAATGATATGGGCGTAGGTTTTTAATTAGTTGCCCTACTTCGGTGCACGTGACCGGGTGAACGGGATCGAGAAGTTGCTCTTTCGCTTTCCTTTCAACCTCTTCGTTCACCTCACGGAGGTGTTCGAGGTTAGCGGGAAGCAGCCTGGGGGAGCATTGAGACTCGAGGATGTCAGCTGAGCCTTCTCTTTGAGTCGCTGGCGTTCTTATCGGGACAGGTAGTGGTGGCATTGTATTTGTAGAGTTATCTTTAAGAGATTTCACAAGATTCCAGAAAGCTTGTTGAGAAGATTCTATCGTTGGTAGAATGGAATCCCACTTAAACTTGAGTAACGCCTGCGATTCGAGTCGGTAAGATATCTGACATATGCACGGGTGGCCGCTTTCTTGCGTCTCAGCGAGCCACGCACATCAAGTAGAGGCCAGATATCCGTCTCGGGCATTGCTTGACGACGGTGTGGACGTGGCTAACGAGAGCTCGAACTCGTGTTCCGTTTTCTAATCAGCAACCACAGGACAGGACCGGTTAGTGTGTGAGTCGTGCCAATGGACGCTTTTCTTGTATTTTGTTTTATCATGTGTTTTGGCAACAAAAGTGTATTTTTGTACTTTCTTGTTGTTTTACCCGACTGCGTGTTGCAAAAAAAGATAATCTTTTTTCTAGCGTTGGCGTTCAAGTGATCAAACACGTGAGCTGATTTTGATAAGTAGTTGAAATGACATTGATCAAAACTCAATATGTAGGTACAGGCAGACGCCATATTGTGAAATGTTACACCATATTGTACAGCGATTAGATAAATGTTCCAATCGGTCGGTTGGTTTTTTCGAAAATTTTATCAATCACGCTGTTGGGTTTTTGAATTTTGAATCCTAGCTTTATTTTCGTATATTTCCGAGATTCGTCAATTATTATGAGTTGCGCTCAAATTGAGTTTTAAGGGATATTGATTGCTAGTCAATTCTTGTAATCAGTAAATGAATAGCTATTTTATTTTGCTGGATTTGTTTTTGTATAATAATATTATATAATTAGATTAAATGAGCCGTGATAGCTCAGTGTCCGGGCGCTCGCCTTTAATTCAATATACTCGAGCAACCTGAGTTCGATCCCCGGTGCCGGCACCAATGAAGTTTTTAACTTTAAGTGCTGACTTATCACGTGCTCCGCGGTGAAGGAAAACATCGTGAGGAAACCTGCATATTTTCGAAATAATAACAAAAAATATATATATTTCGAAGATATGTTAAGTCCGCCAATCCGCAGTGGGGCCGAGGGGTGGACAATGCCCTGATACCCTCTGTATAGAGGAGGCCTTTGCCCAGCAGTGGGACATGTATAGGCTGTTACTTTACTTTACTTTACTTTTATATTGTAAGCAAAGCAATATAACAATGCAAGCAATAAGTGGAATATAGACTTACGGGCGTCGGCTAAAGTGGCGGCTTCTGCCGTCGTCGACAACCCTACCAGAAGCCACGCGCACAGGCTCATCAGCGATGCCTGGACATTGCGGATCGACATAATCCTCAACTATCCAGGCATTCAATCTCCTGAAAAAAGACTGGCTGCCTTTTTCCCGCGGTAGAGCCAAGCAACAGCTTATGCTGACGCACAGACCGGCCTGACTGAGGAAGTACACATCACAGAAAAATGGAAAAAGTAACAAAAGTATTTAGTTGACACACATGACAGCATGAGGCGACCATGGACCGTGGATTATGATCAACCCACTATTATTCCACTATTCCTTACCTTTAGTCACGATTAGAAGTTCTAGTTTGCTATCAGTAAAATGAAAAATATCTGTGGTACCTACATGAATCAGCGGTAGAAATTTTCTGTGGGTATTTTAAGCGAGGTTTAGCGCGTTTCTTTATCACTACCCTGATAAGTACAGTCGTTTTCGTACGTACCGCTCATCGAATATAAAACATTTAATTTTGGATAAAGTTTATGAGGTAGTGAACGCGAAAAGTTAATGCGTTTAAGAAACTTACCACAATATGACGCAAGCGCATAACACTTGAATTCATTTTATCAGGGTAAAGCGAATTTATATTATGTTGCAAACCGTATGAAATTATTAAAATAGCTATAAAGCATTCGTTTTCGTACGAGTTTTATGTAACGTTAAGGAGCCCCTACACCTTGGCTGCTACTTTCCAGAATGTGTCCTTGGATTACACCGACCGCCTTCAGTAGTGGAGAGTCGAAATATCCTCAAACCTCAACTTTGGGCGGTTCATTGAGTCTAAAGCCAGGGCAGTTGCAAGGAAGTTGAGCGTCCTTCCAAAGGTGTGACGGTACTTCTCACCCGGAAAATTCCTTACTCTTTACAAAGCTCAAGTCCGTTCGTGTGTGGAGTACTGCTGCCATATCTGGACTGGGGCTGCAAAATGCCACCTGGCTGCCCTTGACTCAATGGCGAGGCGTGCGGAAAGGCTCATTGGTGACCGTGATTTGGTTAAAACCAATCGCACTAGCCTTGACCACAGACGCAGAGTAGGTAGCCTCTCGGATTTTTACAAAACACATTTTGGAGAGTGTGCGTTGGAGTTGCACGATTTCATTCCTCGCGCTCCTTTCCATCATCGGACAACTAGACGTTCGGCGGGGCTCCAACCTTTTGCTGTCGACCTTCCACACCCAAGAACAAAGCGATTCGCATCGTCATTTATCATCCGTACGGCTATGGAATGAAACAACCTTCCGGCGTCGATCTTCCCATCCGATTATAACGTAGGGTCTTCGGCAAGAGTGAATACTGAGCTAGCGCGCTTACCATCCGCGGCTGCATCGCCACTAGCATCAGGTGGAATGGCAGTCAAGCGCTAGTAATTGAAAGTTTATGTAAAGTTAAAAAAAATCGGACAAGTGCGAGTTGGACTCGCGTACGAAGGGTTTAACCGCTAATCCCAGGGTCTACTGGTCCGAATAGAAAAATTCTTGCATTGTTAGATAGCCCATTTAGTGGGAAAGGCTATATAGGCTACTTTTTAAGCAAGATATAAAATGTAGTAGGGGACAAAGGGGTAATGGGTGTCAGTGGGTAATGGTGCCACTGCTTCACCTGCGTAAATGGGCTCTCTACTCCGCTATGTGCCCATCACAATCATTGCGTGCCGGTTGCGCCTGTATGGCTACGACATCGAGAACGAGAGGTCATTTTTTTTTTGCTTGTCGATATAAATTTCCTCTCTCGCAAAATAAACGGTAAGTAGGTATCACATTTATTGATCTACTTATTTGTAACTTTCGTACTCCTTTATCCGGACATTCAGTGTAACGATTTCAAACATAATATATCACTTTTTCATGCATTTTAATTGGCGTATACTAAATTTTTTGATTTAATAAAAAAATCTTACTTGGCACCACTACTTGGACGGCTGACTGTGTTCAGCCTTGAAAAAGAAAGGGATTTGGCCGACTTCATAAAAAAGATGGCCAATATTTTTTATGGATTTATGCACAGCTAATGAAATTTGAAAAGTGGCATCTGAATACGCTGAAGACTTAAACTTAAAACACAATTTTAATCAGTTTCCGAAAATGGCTGGACGTAACTGGTTGTTGTCTTTTACCTTGCAGAGAAGATCACGCCTTACGAAGTAGCATCCCTATTGCGGACGAAATTTAATAACGTCTCAATCCGGTTACCGGTAATCATGGTTACGTATTTAATTAAATTGATACTATTGATTTAATTAAATAACTTGGATAGCTAAGGCTGCTGCGTGGCCCTACCTGCTACACGAATAGGCAGGCTCGTCCGGGCAGGTACCACGACCTCACAGAAGACTGGCGTAAAGTGGAAGTATATTACTTTCGCGTTTCGTCTCGTGAGGTGGCCGGAGCCCAATTTCCAAAACGTTCTCAACCCATCTGGAACCCTCGGGTGTAGCATATGTCCATGGGCGGCGGTATTCACTTAACATCAGATGAACCGTCTGCAGGCTTGGCAATTTTTCACATAAAAAAAAGAATGTCAAAAAGTTGTTGTCAGTTGCCGTGGTAATACCGTGAAGTTGGTTTGACGGTCGCTGTGCGTGCACATCGTAAAAAATTTAGGACGGAAGTGATGTCGCTCTGCATAACTGGAGCGATGGTAATTTGAACGAGCCCTTTTGATATAAACGCCAACTGCCTTGTGAGTTTACGTTGAATGATTTCAATTCGTCGTGAGTAAACCCTATAAAATGGCCTCCTAATAACACACGCACACTCTATAGAAATTCGAACTAGTGCATTGTATAATTTTATCTTGGTGTATGAGTTTACAAAATACCTAAATTATCCGATGAGTTGTCATGTTCTGTAATTACACAGTCCATGTATGCACTAAAAGCTGTTGTCCGTCTATGAGAAAGATTTGAGCTTTTTAATGAGTGTGGCATGGCTTACTTTATCGAAGGCGCTTGCAAAATCTGTATAAATTGCATCAATTTCGTGGCCTTGAGCAATTTCGCTACATAAATCTGACAACATGTTAGGTTGGTTTAATTAGAACGATTAGGGCGAAAGCCACGTTGATAAATGAAACGCATGCAATAATTATATCTACATATTTTATTAGAACTAAATTGTTGCGTATTCACTTTAATCGCACTCGATTCGAAACGCTGAACAGTTCGACGACACCTCTTGGAAACACTGAATACGGGCGGGGGCCTATTTCTCAGCGGCGGAGGGGGCTGGTGAGGAGGGGGCTGGTGAGGAGGGGGCGGAGGGGGCGGCGGGCTCCTGGCCGGCGCCGGCCTCCAGCCGTTCCTCCTCCTCGTCGTCGTCCTTCCCGTACAGTTCGGGGTACTGCGCCATGCACTCTTGCATCACGCTGAACTTCTCATAGCACTCGCTGCCCTTGGGCTCCGCTTCGCTGCAATCGAACACTGCATAGTATATAACAAAGTCGTCCCGCTGTCTGTCTGTCCCTATATGCTTAGATCTTTAAAACTACGCAACGGATCTTGATGCGGTTTTTTTTATACACCTGTTTACACCCGTGCGAAGATTGGGTAGGTCGCTAGTCTTCCTATAAATAAATTATGTTTATTTTTATAATTATATTTTGTATAGAAAGATGACCTTTACAATTAAAAATTGAAATCGTGATAAATGTTTGAATAAACGATCTGTGATAAAAGAAACCTGGCACTTGCGTCAAACAAGTGCTACTTATGAATTACATATCATTCAGTACCTCTGGCAATTGATCAAACTCCAAATCCTGTGCCTGCGTAACAGTGACCGAATGAAGTCAACCACGGCTTACAAAGTGCCTTCTATATTATCGCATCGGGTGCTTCTATGAAAAAAATCAAGACTTCAAAGAAGATCACACAGCATCTAGTCTCTATAATACTTGACATGTCACCCTTATAAGGTAGAAACTAAAAGGTGTATTTAAATCGTAGTAAAACAACGTTAAATTTAACAGAGGCCCTAACGCAACAAGTACCACAACCTCACAGAAGAGCAACGTGAATCGGAAGTGTTATACTTCTGCGTTTCGTCCGGTGAGTGAGATAGCCGGGACCCATTTTATTTAAAGGTGGAAACGCATCTGCAACACTACAGGTGTTGCAAATGTCCATGGGTGGCAGTTGTAACTTAAGATCAATAAAAAGTAATATCTATAGCAAATGAGATGCACATAATCAAGAATCCAAGAAGAATCTTCAAAAGACGGCTTGCTAGGTAGCTGTTGGTATTAAGAAAAATTACCATTTCAATTGAGAAGATGGTTGGGTGTTACCATGATGCAAGACTAAGAATAAGAGAAGAGAGAAAGAGCCACCTGTAGTGGAAACAGGAGAAGGCGTCGCGGAACTGCGCGCCGCAGGGGCCGGTGGCCATGCCGCCGAGGCAGGGGCAGCCCCAGTTGATGGAGCCGTCGGCGCGGATGAGGCCCGGCGCGGGCTCCGGCTCGGGCAGCGCCGTGCGCGCGGGCGCCGACAGCTCCTCGCGCGACGCCACCACCACCAGGTCCTTGCCGCCCGGCCCCGTCGCCCATTCCGTGCGCAACGCCATCTGGCACAACGACACTAAATAACACCATCGACGGCCATTGCAGAACGCCTAGGTCACAACGTCCGTTCTCCTTCCAGGAGTCACGAGATGAGCTACATCTTAAAGCGGGCTATTAAAACAATTTATAAGCCACTGGAGAACAATGGTAAAATTTACCATGCATTAAATATAAAATCCCTCTCCAAGATCCAGAAGTATATAAACTGTGTCCAAGTTTAGTGTCAGTACAATTACAAAAATCCGCAACTTTAAGGAATAAAACAGATTTGTGTGTGTAAGGAGGAAAACAAAATCTTAACACCTAAAAAAAATTAAGTGCCAATTTCGTTTTCACTACCGCTAAGTGTCACGCTTAAGACTCTAATGCCCGGTTTCTGGAACTCTGATCTGCAACATCTACAGTGATCAGCGTTTCAGAAACCGGGCGTAAGAGTCGATAAAGTAGTAGTAGTCATTTAGAGCCTCGATCAATAAACATTGAATCGCCGAGTCGAGTTCACTTACCTAAAAAATACGCAATCAAGTTTCACTAACAAAACGACAGGTTTGTTTTACAATTTTGCATTATATGTATATAATTTTAAAATACTTGTCGTAGGTGTTGTATTGAAACAATAACTTAATAAAAAATAATAACTTTGCAGAGACCTACTTAATTGTCATGACAAAACTACTGTCATACAAAAGAAAAAAGTAAGAATGCATTTTGTGTTATGGATAATAAGATACTCATGCTCATTATTTTATGAATGAAAAAGGCACTACCGTAAATCTTAACCTGCGCGGTAAGTTGCTAAATAAGAGCCTGCAGCGATGGTGCTTCAGCACGCACTCGCACAGTTTTGGGACACAAGGCAAGTGCCGCACGCAGGCGTCGGTGTTGGTTTGCGTGGACACGAAGCAAAATGATGCCGCTCGAATCCACACGTAGGAGGTCCACTTCTGGAGCTCCGCATTCGCCGAAAAGTTGTCTTCCGGCTTCACTTAACAACTGTTGCGCTGCCAACTCTGCACGCATATCTCCGCTCCTGTATTGTTATATCTAACATTGAATTATGTATACTCACTTTAATGAATGTTTAAGGCTTTCGCTTCTTATGGATCCACCAGTTGTTGCAGTAGTTCCTGTTACCTTTACCTGTGATAAATTATTCGCCTGTGTTACATATTCTTTACAAACTTGATTTAAGAAAATTCATTTTTTTTAACATAAAAATTAATTAATAGCACTTGAAAACTATTCTACAAATATTTCAAAAGCTCAATTATTATTTTAAAAAAAAACATTTAAAATGTCAATAAATATATTACTAATTGTTTAGCCTTTGTTTTGGACAACTATTAATCCCAATGCAGAAGCTTTATATTTATTGTGACGGTGTGTGTGTTTAAAATCGCGGAAAAATGTAGTTGGAAGCGATATCACTATTAGATAGGAGATAGGTATTCACTTTAAGACAACCAATGTCAGGTCGCATAGAATGTTGGAAAATGCTTGGGTGAAGAAGAAACAACTTGGGGTAGTATTTGGAGTATCTAATATAGATAACTAAGGTCAGCGTAAGATGGGTACTCAGACCGCTCTACAAAAACAACTGCGCGTTAAACATTCTTGGGATTTGTTGATTTGTGAAAGTTGGTGTATTCCATCTAATTTTACTGGAGTTGAAACTTGGGTTCAACTTTGATTAAAGCAGTAATTAAATTTACATTACGATAAATTTTAATGAAGATAAATAAAATGTCTGGGGGAGTGAGAAAGAAGGAATTTACAAAAAAATCTCCAAACACATATACTGGGAAATGTGCCAAATAAATTAAATTTATTGTCTTCTCTTTGAAACATTGCCCCCATATAGTAGGATAACATAACAGGTTGTAAGGAGATTTTTTTACACACATGAATTTCATGAGGACAAACTCTATCTGTAGCCGAAACAAATTCTTTGGCAACTGCGCAACTGAGACATCTTTTCATTTATATCTTTGTTTACAGGGATGGAAGTATTTTACTTCTGCCTTCTGCCTAGTGAGTGAGGTATCTGGGGCCCAATTTATTAAAAGTTGGCAATGCTTCTGGAACCTTACAGGTATTACAAATTTCAATAGGCTGCAGTTATCACTTGACAACAAATGAACCCATTGCTTGCCACCTTCTCACATTAAAAAAAATAATTAAGTTAAAATTTAATTATACATACTACTACTTAAAACAGTAAATGAAACATTAATACTTGTTATGCTATTATGGTAATGTAATATGGTACATGTTTATTGGTTTATTTTCAAACCATATATACATAGGGAAATTAGATCTAAATAGTAATCAATCAAATTCTCTTTTCTGAACAAAATTATAACTTTTAAATAATGTTAAGGCAAAGCTCTGTATTGATTCCTTTTTTTTTACGTGAAAATTAGACATGGTTAGGAAACTATTTTACGAATCGCTATTGATTTGATATATAAATTCAAGATGTTTCAAACTCTTTGAGCGTTCATGCTCACTGGACAATTATGTACAGACCATAAATTAGGTAAATTATCGAAATTTTTAAAGTAAGACGAGTTCAAAATCAAAAATATATATGTATTCACATAGACGCTTGCGAATTCTTATAAAACGTCAGCATTTTACATAAAAATTAATAAGTTCGTATGTAAGCTACCACTGAGCTGAGTTAAATTATTAAAATATTATGTAATTTGAAATAGGTGTAACTACTTACAATTCAGCTTCCAATTCTAAATAAAAATAACGACTATTCATTTATAATAGCACTTATTTGAAAGAAATAATTAAAACGTTTAAAAGTACAATGTTTTAAAGTTTGCCCATATAAATCTGTATATATTTGTATTTGTCATTACAAATTATAACCAAACACAGAAATATAAAGAGGTTATATACTTAATTAAGTATTATAATAACGTCAACTTGACAGGACAGACACAGTACACTAACTACACACCAAAGAGAATATAACCACTACGTTTTACTGGTACACACTGAAGCACTGTTGCCAGGCTAGATTTGTAAAAAGGAAAAAAGATTTGTACAATAATTTGGGAAGTTTGGTACAATTATACAGAAAAATTATTAAGTTAAATACAAGACTTTTACAGTAAATAAAAATACTCCACATTTTTTTATTCACACTCAATGGCGTAGCTATCGTAGGGCCAAGTGGTGCAGTGCACCAGTGCCCCGAAACTCAGGGGGCTAAGTTTTGAAACGAAAGAATCTTCCGATCTGGCAAACCTCCAGGACGCTCACAAGATCTTTTGTAAGATGTTAAATGAACATGAACAATAACAGAACTCTTAATTTAAGACTTTGCCTTTTACTCATGCCCCAAGTCTTTTTGAGAAGAATGTGTTATTTGTCGCCGTTTTATTTAACATTTTTTTTTGTTTTTTTTTTTTTTGAAAAACATTGCCCTCACTTTAGGATAACATTATCCTGTGTTGTAAGGACGTTTTACAAACATAAATTGCACGAGGACCAACACCCAGATGCGAAACAACTATCTGTGGGTCGCACAAATAGTTGTCCCGTGTGGGAATCGATACCACTACCCCCGACGCCGAAGCCAATACCTTGGCAACTACGCCACGGAGTCATCAAATCATTGGATCAGCAACTCATGTGTCGTGTCACGAACATCAATTCCAACATCATATTGTAAACAAGTTCTTCGGAGATAATTCGATATCATAATTATAAATCAAACGAATGTATTTAATTAATTACGAGTGATTTTAAATATTTATAATTTTTTTATATAATATTATTTATGTCTAGAATTTAATAAAAAAAAATGGATACACTTAAAAAAGCCTCCCTGTATATACTTATAACTTACTATTAGGATGCAGGTGGCTCAGGATCGCCTTTCGTGGCAGTCTGTGGGGGAGGCCTATGTTCAGCAGTGGACTCAAACAGGCTGAAATGATGATGATGATGAGATATTACTAGGTCTGTCATATTACCTCTTCTTTTTACTCAAATTGTCAAAACATTATGTGATTTTATTCATGTTAATAATATTAAATGATAATGTATTTAGATTTTGTAATGTGTGTATCTGTGACGTGTGTTATTAAGGTGATGAGATTTAAATGTAATGTGCAAATGTCGTTGGAAATCTGAAAATAATCTCAAAATTTTATCTGATTTTTAAGTATAGCTATAAGCGTCACTCCCTTGATTGACATGATACAAAATAAATCTTTTAAGAGAAGCCATTTATTAAAGAAAAAAATTATAAAATACTAGCTGTCCCGGCAAACGTTGTTCTTCCATATAAATTATTTCTAGGGAATCCATATAAATAATTTCTGTAGGGTAGAAAAAACTGTTTAGGGTGGACCTTAACATTTAGGGGGATATAAAAATAGATGTTGTCCGATTCTCCGCCCTGGCCGATATGCACACAAATTTTACGAAAATCGGTCGAACCGTTTCGGAGCAGTTCAATTACAAACACCGTGACACGAGAATTTTATATATTAGACTAGCGACCCGCCCGGTTTCGCACAGGTGCAATGTATTATACATATAAACCTTCCTCTTGAATCACTCTATCTAGTAAAAAAAAGAACCGCATCAGGATCCGTTGCGTAGTTATGGAGCACACACTTGAATCTTACTTATCGTTGTAATTGACAAAGCAAGTGCAGCCATCAAGATAGTTAACTTAAAACGCCACCCCTCCCCGAACCTTGCAGGAATCCCTTTCCAGTTTCGCTCAGTAAACACTTGGACAATGATATCAAGCAGCTGATCTCTGGACCAGGAGGCGTTGAGTTCCCCTTTTAGGGTCCTCGCCTCGCTGAATAATCTGAACGAAGATCCACGGAGAAGTGTCGTTGATTGGAGATAAACCATGCGTGGAACAGATGTCTCCGTTTCATCAACTTAATTGGACTTAAAAAATTAATGAATCAGGTGGAATGTTATTCTTTGTGTATTGTTATTTATAATCAGATTACATCAATATTAATTTTGAAATTTAGAATTCCAAGTTCGTTTTAATTCGTGTTAAATAATTGGTAAGGAATATGAATTATTTTGAAAACAAATTATTGTTACATTGATTATTGCTGTGACTAGAGGTATTTGAGCGATTATGTTATCTACTACTAAAGAAGTGTTTGGGCTCACAGAAAACCAGTGTCATCATAATCATCATCATTTCAGCCTATTAGAATCTCCCTAACCGCTATCCCGTCGACCACCAAGTACGATCAAACAACCAAAAAAATGGATGTGGGTAGCTCATACCCACATCCATTTTTTTTTGGGCTTGATGAGCCTCTGTTGGCCTTAGGGGCCTTTACAGTTTCGCCGGACTTGAGGTGGCCGAGCGCTCGGGGCGCCTAGCCTGAACCTCGGCGTATTATTATTACGCATTATGGTGACTAATCTCGAGGGCTCCCGAGGGAGCCTCGGCTCGGGCCGTCACGCTATTATTATTACCGATTTGGGAGGCCGCCAAGCTCTTAGGGCGCTTTGGCGGACGCCCCATGGAGTGACCAGGCTCAAGGGTCCCCGAGAGGTAACCTCGGCTTGGGCTGTCACTCAATACGCGTTTAGCATTCCGATTCGAGGGTGCCCGAGAGGGCCGGACCTCGGCTCGATCGGTAGCTATTTTCTGACTGGGAGAATTTCTAGATCTAACATTACTGCCACTTCGGAAAGCGTTGGCGCTGGGAGAAGAAGTGGCGGAAGAAACTCCAGCAACGCTTCTATCATTAACGGGGGAAAACCTGCCAGGTACTTGGCGGAACCTAGTATATGTTTGCCGCACTCGCCGGCGAGTGCGGTGTGATCTGATGTGTTTGCGTAATTGTTTTATTTTGTCGATGGCGATAGTTGTCTCATCGTCAGAGAAATCGAGTACGTGTCGTGGTCTGCGCCATTGGCGACGGAACGAACCTAGCGGTAGGGGTTTGTAGGTGACGGCACCTGCAACTAACGGATTGGGATGCGCGGCGGCGGATTCGAAGTAGCGGCGCGACCCCGACTTCAGGAATTGAGCGATGGTTAGCAGCTCTAAATCCACATGTAAGTCGATGTTCCGCATGAACCACGGGGCTCCCGTAGCTCTGCGCAAAAATCGATTCTGGATGACCTGAAGCCGATGTATTTGCCTCGGGGCAATGTGCGCAAAGACCGGACTCGCGTATGTCATGATGGGGCCGAACTACTGCCTTATATAAAGTCACCTTATTCCGAAGGGACATTTTTGAAGTTTTATTTAAAAGGGGATACAGGCGACCTAGTACGAAGGCCGCCCGGTTCCTGACCCGAGTCACGTGCTGTCTGAATTTGAGTTTAGAGTCAAGGACGACACCCAAGTATTTGACATTATTTACCCATGGAACCGGACTATCCATGAGTTTAATTTTCATTTGCACAAGTCTTCACTCCATTAAGTAGGGGGTCGTCCTACACTGCGACGGCCACTACGAGGATGCCACATTTTTTTTAAATTTGTTACCTCAGAACTTTTGACTGAGTGAACCGATTTTGATAATTCTTTTTTTATTTGAAAGCTGGTGCTTCCCATGTGGTACGGTATTAATCTCTATGGTATTAGATTATGGGTTCCGGAGATACTTAGGGAACTCCTGAAAATCAATTATAAAATGAATACAGAGCGTGATATTTGAAGTCGGTTTTACATATACCTTCCTCTTGAATCACTCTATCTAGTAGAAAAACCGCATCAAGATCCGTTGCGTAGTTTTAAAGATCTAAGCATACATAGAGACAGACAGACAGCGGGACGACTTTGTTTTATAGTGTAATAAAACCAATAACCTCTGGTACAAAAACACAATTTAATCCAGGCTTGTCGATATTATTTCACAATTTGTTTTTATTCTATTAAACTAACTTTACTTTGTAGAATATAATTAATGACTACAATTAGATGTTTACCTACTGTTCCAATTCACGATCCCAACTCCCAGGCTCACTAACTAATGCCATATCTCGAAGTGTCGCTCACATAGCGACATGTATAATTAGTTGGGACTAGTATATTGACCAACCAAAACCAAAGTTTAGTCATTTGACATATTGAATTATATTGATTTAAATTATTATTTCGTTTATAGCTGTAAATACGTTATATAAAATTATAGATTTACTATACATTTACAAAATCATAACAATATGTAGTGATATCTTTAGGAACTAATTTAGATCTAAATTTTTCTATCTAGGTATATGTGTATATGTTACCGGCCAAACCCGATTTCAAGACAAAATAGTTTTGACTAGGCTAAACTAGTTCTTCCTATACGAGATAGGAGTAACTAGTTTAGCCTAGGCAAAACTAGTTTGGCCGAAGCCCGATATCCATATCCCTCCATCCATATTCATCATTCGTCCATATTCTCTTCTGTATATTTAGACTCACTGTGTTATTTTTCATTATTTCTCTTAAGCCCGTAGTACTTTTTCCATGCCAAAGTTACCCTTCTTTGTGTTTCTTTTACGGTACAGAAAGAAACAAACGACACTTAGAATGAACTAACACTTATATTACCCATCTCATATAGTTGTCGTGTAATTTTTTTATGTGAGAAAGTGCTATACGAGCTGGCGGTCCACCTGATGTTAAGTGATAACCGCCGCCTATGGACATTTGCAACACCAGTAGGGTCGCAAATGTGTTGCCACCAGATGAAACGCAGAAGTGTACACAATTCTACTTTACGCCGGTCTTCTTCTGCGAGGTCGTGATACTTGCCCGGACGGACCTGCCCATTCATGCAACAGTGAACAGCGTTTTTTTTTTTTTGAGAGAATGAAATATAAATAACAAAATATAACTTATAAGGCAGCATATTTGAGAAGTGGCATAAAATGTTACTTCGATAAAAAGACAAGTATAGGAAGTGATACGTAAATGATAACTGGCTGGCTGCGTTGTAGAGCCGACTGTTAACCGAATAGCATCGCAACAAGAGCTCTTGAAAGCAATTCGACGCCGAGTTAGTCATAATAAATAAGTCGCGCGAGAGGGATCCGGCCTCCGGGAGCCGACTCCTGAGGGGAGGGGGGGGGGGGGGGGGGGGGGAGGGCGGGAGAGGCTGAGGTCGGTTACACTGATGAACTATTGACAGCGATGAATAGAAGTGAAGCCATTCAATTGCACACGAACTCAATCAACATATTGGTGGCGGTAGGGGACCCGCTCCATTTGCCCCACCGCACCGCTACCATGGCACAAGCGGTGTTTTCATTCAGAATTAAATGTTATTCAGATGCTCATTGATTTTGTATGGAGCTTCCCTAACGAAAATATGTAACTGACGAGCATTCAAATGGTGTGTCCTCATTTGATAATCTTATTTGTCGTAAATGTCTAAAATGGATGCTGTTTTAGAAATCAGCTCCTGACAGTGAACTCTCAAATTGATTTAATTCTAACGCGCAACACCATTTGTTGTAATGACGTGGCAACTTTGAAGTGGTCGTCAATGCGGAAAACGGCATCCATGACCCATGACCCACGCCGCGCCTCTCCACACAATTCAAACGCATCGTATCCGTAGTATGCAATAGTACGTCCATTTTTATTTATTCCAGTTCGTTGCGCCGTCGTCAGTACATGCCATTTGTATAATCAATGAACTTTGTATGTATAAGATTTTGACCATGTTATGGATAATTAAATAAATAGTTCATTCTTAGAGTTCCGTACCCAAAGGGTAAAACGGGACCCTATTACTAAGACTCCACTGTCTCTCTGTCTGTCTGTCTATCCGTCTGTCCCCATGATGACGTATCTCCTGAACCGTCATAGTTGGAAAGTGTCATATAAGATTTTGATTACTAATTAGATATATCCCCCTAAACTAAAACTAGTACAATAAAAAACAGTTATATTTTACCAAAGAAATATTCATTGTAGTTATGATAATTTCTTGTATTTTCTACGCGATTACACGATAAAGGATATCTTTGAAAATAGTTTCATTAATGTTGTAAATAACTGAATAGTAATAATTTGGATTAAACCTTAGGAATGGTGTCTGTTTGGTTGATATATATTGGCCATTAAGTTCATTATGCAAATATTCAATAAGTAATGTTCATAATGTATAATTTATACTGTACATATGTAATTTTAATGCCATTAAAATTATAAGTTTTTAAGACAATGTCGTTGCAAGTTAGTGTAAGAGCCGAAAATGTTTTGCAAATTTTCAATCGTTCAAAACCTAACGTGGGATAGAAGTGATTGCGGTTGTGTACATTTGTAATTTCCCAAGTTTAATACAAAACAATATTTATAAAACAATTTGAATTGTATATGATGTTCCGTTCGTACTGCTCACACAGCAGACAGTAAGTATTGTTTCTCGTTCGCAAATAAGCGTTTCGACAGCGAACATAACACTTTGTCCAACGATAAGGTTGTCGTGCCGTCCACCCACGGCAGCGAGTTGCTGGTCGGGCGGAATTATTGGACAGCACACAACGCGTCCAATGCGGTTTCCTGAAGCCCGCTAGTGGTTACTTATGCATGAAGATTAACATAAAAGGCGTTGGAGTGTGAGATGCGCCTATTTCGCGGCAGCAGTGAGAGTGTATATTTAGAGGATTTATTATTCCTTTGAGGGATACGGTTGTGCATTTCTGTCATTAAAGTATACATAAGTGAAATCCTAACTTATAAAGGGTCGATTGTTCGCAAAATCGTTTTCTACGCAGCGCCTAGTTAATACCTAACGGCAATGTTTAATTACGTGGAGTTGCAGGGGAAGTGAACACGCGTAAGGCACTCCCCGAGGCGAGCGATGGCTCAACCGAAGCGGCTGCATAAATATACATGTACCTATTATAAATAATTATATTAATAACAAAAACACAAAGTTAACGTTTTACACAGATTACAAAACAGTATAATTTTGAAAAGCAGTTGTCATATAATTTTGTTTTAATTTAGGGATTTTCAAGTTTAGCTTATTCGAGAGTAAAATGGAATTTTTTAATATAGTAAATTCGGCATTGTATCTTCTTTACAATATTAAAACATGTGATGTGTATTAGAAATATTATGTATATATATATATTATATTCAGTGACCGAAACACATTTCATATTATTTATTAGTTAGTTTGTGCTGAAAACATTTGATTAAGAAATGAAACGCGAATCCTAGTATTTTTTATCATATTTCATGTTCATAAGGTATACAGGTTTCCTCATAAGGACTTCCCTCACCGCTGAACACGTAATAGGTAAGTGGTGTGAGCGATGAAATATACGTGGCGACTTAAAATTAAGGGTTTCGTTGGTGTCGGCACCCCAGTGCCGGATTGAACACAGGTTGCTCGAGAATATTCAATTAAAAACGAGCGCCCAGACACTGTGCTTTAACGGTTCGGTATGGTTTAATGCTCAAGTTATAAGAAAAAAAAAATATTTCTCTTTCAAAGACGTGTGCGTGTTTATCTGTACCTACTACAATAGTTTAAAATTGTCTACTGTGACATAGGTTTATATGTAAAGTAAATACCGTGCATAAAAGCTTGCTTTATCAAGCTTTACATCACTGGCGTTAGTTACAGAGGCGTAGAGGAGACCTTGGAGGAGATTAGCTCCATCGAGTGTAACGGAAAACTGCGACCTCAGTCCTCACTCCTCAACGTGTGCGCCACGTGAAAGAGGATTGAATGAGGGCTACCGCGCGGGGCCTGCCCCGTGCCCACCGGCCCGTGCTTGATCTCCTTTGACCTCCTCTCTCTTACTGTAACGCTCCCGTGCCGGAAATTAATACTAGATAAAATTTGGCCGCGTATGACGCCGCAATGTTCATTGTTACTTCCTAATTTAATACAATTTTATTGGTTAAACCTGTAGTTGCACGTGTGAGGGAGAATTTTTGTAGAAATACGCGTTCTTATATTCTTACAAACTCATATGAATGCAATAATGCTTTTCTTTCCTATAAGACGTTATGAAACCGTCAGTTTTTATCAAATACGCTTTTAAACTTTTAGTTAATTTTTCCACCAGAGTATATAAATTACTAGATTTACAACAAGAATTTCATTACCGTGAGAATAAGGCAAGCTTAATGTGACATTAATGTTTTCATCTGTGGCAGGGCTACTGCCGTAGCGCGAATTGGCTGACTCGGCCGGGGAAGTACTGCGGCCTTACTGAGTTCAGTGGAACTTACACATTAGTTGGGTTAATTAACTCGTCCGGTGAGGAAGGACGGGGAAATAAATAATTCATATAAATTGTTTGTTTAGTACAAGTACTTCATATTTTATAATAATCACAAAAATACACCACAAACCGTTGCTGTTCATGATTCATGCTTTCAATTGAATCCAGTCACTTGAATTATTGGGCATGAGAAAACATGGGATTGAAAAATTAAAACGTTAAATCATTACACTATGATTAATGGATGATTTAATGAATCTTTAACATTTAATATCATCTTTATATACTTACTTTACGAATAATTTAAAAAAAGAGTTGTGCAAATAGTAATTAAACAGAATTCCGGTAACATTAGTTGTTTGTTAAGGAATATGTTTATAGCCGCTACAATATTATTGTTTAAGGCACACGTTTCCGCGCTTTGCAGTTTATAAACGGAATTGTTCGCAAATACAGTGTGTATTGCAATTATGGGAATGCAATGCAGTTTGTTATATAAATAGTGTCATTCGGGCCGAGCGCCCGTTATTATAGGCCAAGGGCTTATGAATAACTGTCGTGTATTTATTTATACGCATTCAATACAAGTACGGCGGCATATACGCGTTTTTCTCATCTCATTTATTGGCTCATCCGGGGTAGTACCACGACCTCACAGAAGACTAGCTCCAAGTGGAAGTATTATACTTTTGCGTTTCGTCTGGTAAGTGAGGTAACCGTCAGGGCAATCTAAAAACCGGAGTTGCAAATGTCCACTAGGGACGGTAATCACTTGGCGTCTGAACCGTCTGCTCGCTTGGACACCTTTATCTTCCCAAAAATTCTGGGTACATCTTTCCCTTATCCATATTTTTGTGTTAAAAAGTCTGTAAACGAACAAGTCATTTATGCGTAGCGTTCGTCACAAGTATCGCTATTAATAAACACATGTACATAAGTACATTAGTGTACACAAAAACATTTGTATTCGTGTACATGTCACGTTACAGAAATAGTGAAATCACACGCTCTAAGGCAACTATTTCGGGCAGTATTTATTTAAATTACAGAGGGCGGTGCTCTCATGAGCCCTGTAATTTGGAACGCAAGTTAATGTCTAGCTTGGCTTTGTTCGACGTCAGCTCTGCGGTCAAACTGAGGCATAGTTGCCTTTTACGGCGAATTGAACAGAAACTAATCTCAATACCGAATGGCTCAAAGCCTGATATGCCGTGGCAGCGAGCGCCAAATAGCCTGGGATCGTAGCTAATGGCGCGCATCCGCGGCGGGGGCGTGCGGACGTGCGTGTCCAGTCGGCTCGGCTTATAACTAATAATGTAATGCTAATTCAGGAGGTAATTCTAAACTGTTCCCAACACCCATGTTCGTACTGTACCCTTACCATGTTAGGAATCGGGCTGAATACACCCTCTTCACTTCTTAATTACTACATCAGCATTCTCATACACCTATATAAGAACCGCGACAGGCCAGGCTCGCTCTCTTACTCTTCAATCTCAAGACCGGTCGGACGTCTACTATATCTGACTTGAAGCTGACCAATTTTATTTGGAATATTATTAATTTTTTAATAAACCAAGGTATGCCAACAAATTGAACATAAATACTTTGCTTGCCTTCGAAAATATGCCAAGTGGAGGTTTACAACTGATAACAATGAACAATTATACGTAATTGTTTCATTACAACATACGAGTTTACAAAGTAGAAACATCAAAATCTTGCGCGGTTTATATTCCAAAATCCAAACAGTGTTCAGGTAAATACTTCATTTCAAAACTCCAAAAGGTAATGGAGACTGCAACTGAAAAAAAGTTAGCCGACAATTTTTTTTCTTTAAATAAATATTGCCCTATCTTTAGGACAACATAATCCTGTGTTGTAAGGACATTTTACAAACATAAATTTCACGCGGGCTACCTCCCAAATGCGAAACAACTATCCGTTGGTCATATAAATAGTTATCCCGTGTGGGGATCGAACCCACGACCCCCGACGCCAAGGCTACTCCATGGAGTCATCAGTGTGTATACATTACAATATAAATTTAATTTAAAGACAAATGAGCTACAAAATTTAAAAAAAAGTCAAGATTTACTTTTAAATAGGTATGAAGTGAAATAGATTTTCATTAATCTTGTGCTTCTAATTTTAGAAAAGGAATAAATTAGACTAACATTACACGATACAGAATTGCTGAACTCTAACGTGCTCCTAACCTCTTTTACATTTTATTAATGAGATAGAAAAAGTCACGTATTGACAGTGGTCGTGGTCAATATGATGAGTACATGACAATAACTGGATAGTGGTCCACTTAGAAAAATAAAATCCATGACAAAAGTTACAATGTTTTCTTTCGCTCAACACAACATGACGAGATAATTCTCGTGGTGTTCAGCAAAAGAAAACTCGTTGAAGAATATATTACTTTTAATTTGCTCAAATACTATGAAGGATTGAAAATCACTAATATCAACATAAAGGAATGAACTTGTGACTTGTTCCCTCCTAAATATAAGATGTTTTTAATACTTAAATTATGATTTTCATCACGTTTTGACGAGGGTTTGCCTCCCTTCCCTATCTTATTCGCATATTTGCCGGGAGGCCTGTCTGCGAACTTATTGCTTCGGGTCTCCCAGACCTATACACTTATTCAATATGACATTCCTTGTGTAACTACAACTTTCACTCCCACACTTTTCTTAATCCAAAGTAAAAGTTTTGTCAATCCGAAAGTATGGCAATAACGTAATTTAAATATACATATATATATATATATATATTGCTCCTTCAGCTTTGTTGATATTATATGAATATGAATTATATCATGCACGAATCTCAAAGAGATTAAACTTTTTGTAATAACTATTCAGCTTTATGTTCTACTGATACCTGAGGCTTTAACAATATACAGCGTGTCTTTACAATCGCGACAAGAAATGAACACACATAGAGGATAACTTTTTTTAAATTGTATTATATATTTACATTCTTTAAACATCAATATTTATAGAGTTATTAAATTTTCCAAAACAAAGAAAGAACACCCTTACGTATAAAACTGTAACTTAAAGTTCATTTGTAAAGGTCACAAAGCATATGAATGAGTTGAATGAATTTAAAAGAGACAAAACATGCGCCGGCGATGATGACGAGTCCGGCGAGATTGGTCTATTGGTGTTTTGGGGCGCACAAAATGTACTCACTATGTCCACTACACAATCGCTAGCGCTACACTCCTCTATTCTAGATTTCTAGTTGTGAGGTAATGCTTAATACGGCAACGCTATTAATCTTCCGTAATACCTTTCCCAAGCCAGTGCCGACGTCTGCTTAATCCGTTTTATTTTTAATGAAAAGGCGCGCCCTTAGACTCGGCCGCCCTGCAGCCTGCAGCCCCCGCCGTTGCTTCGTGCCATGTGTGTGAGACACACACGACGGGAATTAGGCAGGCATGAATTTATGTACGAGTATTTGTGGTTACAAAATATGCAACCAACAAATTGATTTAAACATAATTCATGTAAGTAATTATTTCAGTACAACGTGTCAAATCGCTACCACTTACATCTTATCAACATAAAAGGTGACAAGACAGTTTCTATTGTAGCGGTATTGTGCAAATCTTTGGTGAATTGTAATTTTTACGTTTTCTCGCCTCGCCCTCTTAAAAGTAGACGGTACGACGACCACGCCCCTTCGACTAATTATCATATTGCGAAAAAATTATATAACAGTATAACTGCTCGAATGGGCAGGTCTGTCCGGGGAAGTGCAACACACGCCGCGCCGTGTTCAAGACAAATGAGGCACAGATAGTTGACCTATTAGTCTGGGTGTATTTTATTGTTTTTGGTTGTGATTCGATATCAGGACGATCTCACTCCAGTGCAGGATTCTCTACAATACTTCTCTACAATACATACAAGGCAAATATTTCAGGATATTTTATTATTAAATAAGAGCGACCAAGTGACCTCAGAGCCTGACTATACATAAAACCGCCGCAAACCGCGAACGAAGGTACATAACATGAAAACTCCGATGTTATTTCATGTGGGAAAGTGGCAAACGAGCTGACGTTTCGCCTGATTTTAAGGGAAAACCACCATCCATGTACATTTTCAACACCCGTAGGGATGCAGACGCGTTGCCACCTTATAATATAGTGAGGCCCGGCTACCTCCCTCACCAGACGAAACGCACGCGGAGTATTGCACTGCCACTGCACGCCGGTCTTCTATGAGGTTGTGACGAACTGGTACTTACAGCCCATTCGTGCAACAGCGAACTCTGTTGCACGAATAGTAGTCAAAGGTACACTACCTATATGCATAACATTATTAAAGTTTATTATTCTGTCGGAAAGAATTGACTCGTCATGTAGAGGTAATCTATGAAAATGACTCATAAGAAGTGGTATCTCCTATTAGAGTTATCTCCCAACGACAGCTTTGATTTCCGGTACATTAAATTATTTGTTATGAATTAATGAATATAGGACTTTGCAATATCGTTTTTAAAATCTATTAAAATTAATAAAGGAAAACACGCCGGTGAACTAGCAGACAGCTGCTAGTTAGTTGAAAAGAAAAACAAACTGTTGTATCAGTACCTATATAAATGTTAAATAAAACTGTTTTAGGGATTTTGGTGCATTTAATTTTTGACCGCACGAACGAACCTCTCGCACAGACTTTCTTATTACCCCTTATTTGTCACGGGAATGTACCGTAGTGGTAGAAAGCTACCCTAAAGTTTTAAAACTCGTAATGTTATTCCATACCAAAAAGATTAAAGAGAGTAGAAACGTTTTTTTAAGTATTGTAATTTCATTTGGGTCAAAAATGATGACATTCACAGATGATGCATTTCTGTTTCCTATATAACAACAAATGCTAAAAACAGAATAGAAAATTACTTAAGTGGGACTTTTTGTCGTTTGTGTAGATAATGGCACGAAACCCTTTGTGCGCGAGTCCGAGTCACACTTGGCTGGTTTTTTTTTTAGTTTGCACTACTAAAAAAGCAAAAGGAAAAAAATCATTGATCTCAGAACAAGCACCATTTATATTTTAATCATTGTAATGTCACTGCAGAACGATTTGTTTTGTCGCATAATTTGACTTACATCAACGAGTTTGTGCTAAATTTGGGATGATTCATCCGACGGCTGTGTCTTCTAGACTTCAGGGCCCACTGCTGAAGCCTCGCCGCACGAAGCAGGCCCTGGCCACGATCACGGCCGATCCGGTGAATAAGCTGCACCAGCCCGCCAACACCCATTTCTTAATTTAACCACGCCTTCCGCTACCTGGCTTACGCTTTTCCGCGTTTAATTGCTTGGAAGAACGATGCACTTCACTTACTCATATTTATAAATTAATTAATTCAAAAATATTAGTTTTGTTGAATGTAGGATGAATCATTTGTATTGATAATGCATCAAATTTTTGCAAGATTACACAATCTTTGTTACTGCAATATTTTTTTTTTTGTTACAAATAAGATATTTTAGTCTAAACGAGATTAACAAGATACTAAATTATTTTTTATTATAATTGACAATCACCTACGCTACATTGTGGAATGCAAATGTTGAATAAAAAATAAAGTACCAGGAGGAACGGTTTTTGTGGTAAATCGTGTATTTTGGAAATAAAAAAATAAAGAAAATGATCTACTTCTAATACTATAAAACTGAAGTTTGTTTGTTAGAACGCGCTAATCTCAGGAACTTCTGGTCTGATTTGAAAAATTCTTGCATTGTTAGATAGCCCATTTATTGAGGAATGCCTGTTATGTAGAACTTGCGGTCGAAGCCGCGGGCAAATGTCAGTAATAATTAGTCTAGTTATTAATAATTTTATTTATACGTTCATTAGGTGACTTTTTTCGTAAAATAAATCTTCGAAAGTATCAGTCTCATGTTATTTAAATGTTTATGTTAGGAAAGATTTACATCTGTTCACAAACAATACGATATTTACGAATTCACATCACTTTAGTAAACGTATTTCTGTACGTGGACAGATTCCGTCTAAAGGCTAAAGAAGCTTAGCTTAGCGAGCTAATGCCTTATTCAGTTGCGCCCTGTTGTTTACACTTGCGCGTTCGTGGAAGCGTCCGTCTTTATTCCGGCCGGAAATGGATCGAGGTTTGGAATAAAAATTATTTCACAGAAACCGCACATCATACATTGTGTGGCACTACTGAACGCTCTATAGTAATAGAGCGTTCATTTATAGCCAATAAAGCGTTCGTGAAGTCTTTGTTAAGTTCCGGTAAATTGATCTATTAATGGAAAGCAATGGGAATGTGTAATTTTTGATTACCCTTCATTCATGTTAAGTCTTTCGAAATTCAAGCTGTCAGAAGAAAAAGTTGACCATTGTCCAAACAAGATTTTTTTACTGCATGAATCTCTTGCCATGTCTTAAGATTAAGACGGGAAGTACCAGTAGCAGAAGTAAGTCGTCAGAGTAGTTGGTTGAATGCATACGTTATTCAACACTGGTCGCATTAAAAGCACTTGGCGCGTATCCGAAACAGGGCTGAAGAACATTTCCCAGAAGTGCGATCGTTGCGCGGATGTCGGCGACAAGTTGCCAGAAGTTGTTATTAGATGACGCAGCCGCCGCTCTAGTCACTTTGTTGATCTTCTCTGGATCCGGCTACGTAGGTACGTTCGTCGTGAGAAAACATGTAAAGAACAATGGCGAAAAGACACATAAACCAAGAATATTAAAAAAATATCTACATTTTATCAAGTTATCACTTAAAACAGTTAAAGCAAGAATAAATAATAATTATTTAGGATACATAATTGATTTAAATGATATTTATTTCATTTTTATTACTTTAGTGCTACCATTTAAAACTTTTAATCCTTAAGTTAGATGTATAATCGATGCGTCGCTTTCTTAAAATATAACTTTAAAGCCTATGAGTTTGCCTTATTAGAAAATAATAGTTTTTTTTTCTATTATGGTGTATTGTTACGGTGGTAGCCTCGGTTGTTGCACGAATGGGCAGGCTCGTCCGGGTAAGTACCATGGCCTCACAGAAGACCGGCATAAAGTGGAAGTATGACAAATACTTTCGCGTTTCGTCTGGTGAGTGAGGTAGCCGGAGCCCAATTTTCAAAAGGTTGTCAACGCATCTATAATCCTCGGGTGTGGTAATATGGCAGCACTGAAACTGCGCTTTATACTAGGTTAATTCGAGTACCTGTTACGCCTGTTCCTGTTACTCAAAATTAATAGTGATAATTACTTGTTACAAAATAACAACCTTATATTTTATACTATGTTGTGACAATTTGTGTAACTGTTCGTAATATACTGTATCAAATTGTTTATACTCTATGGTAATGTCCGTACTTCTCTTTCTAACAAATCAAGATGACCGATGCAAGAAAAAGAAAGAGCTTATGATAGTGACAGTGTTCAGTAACAACTGTGACAGGATATAATAGTTTTTATCTCTTTCTTACTAAGGTAACAGTCGTAAGCATGAATAAAGAAAATCTTGTGACAGCGTGTTAAGGAAGAATCTGTATGGAATAGGAGCTGTTATTTAAGTTTGTTTGTAACAGGTACAGTCTGTTATCTTAAGATACCTGTTATAATTTCTTGGTACGATAAATACGCATCACTCCTATTGTAGATTAGCGTTGGTGTTTGACACATTGACAGGTATTTTATATTCAGAAAAAAATAACAAAATGCTTTGTAACACAAAGCATTTTGTCAATTCTCTCTTACCTAAATCTACAAATATTTATTGTATATAAGCTTTCTTCAGTATTATACACAATACATATTCAGTACTTTCCCTTGGTCTGTGGAATTCATCCAGTTTCGTTATAAGTAGGTACAAAAGAAGTGACAGTAATATCCCACAAAAGTCCCAAACTGAATATTTCCTATTCTCGGTCTCCTTTAAATTTCGCCTTCCACAAACAAATTCGTAATCTATTGCTGAAATAAATAATATATTTTTTACGCAAAGACGTAGCAATTTAATTTGAAATAAAACTCTGTATGGAAGTTCGCCATTAGCAGATCGCATTATCAGATTGAAAGTATCTAATAACAACAATATACAGAAATTATGGCAATAAATTGATCAAAAGAAATATACGGATATGACATTTTCGGTCAACTGAACATATTTAAATTGATGTCAGAAATTAATTCACTATTTATTCGATTTAAAGACGTTTTTTAAATTGAAAAACGAAATTTGTACAGAGCCGTTTCGTTGGGACTCATTATGAGCACGTACTACATTGCACATTGAATAAAAAAGCTAGATCCGTGTTGTTTCGCTTGAGCACCAGGTGTCCGGTCCCATTGCGCCGTGTAAGAAGTCGCCCAGGGAATTAACCGGGCTAGCGAGGCTGGCATTATATAGCGGGGATTCTTGTGCTTGGTTACATTTCTATTGGAAACTTTTTTCTCAGGATAACATCATACCAAGATAAATAATGCAACATTATTAAAGATGTTGTTAACCATATAAGTGTAAATAAACATGAAACTAAAAATGAGTAAATAAACATCATTTAAAATATCTATTAGTTTTAATATCTAACTTATTCAAATATGAAGCTGTTTAGTAGAGGTATCACTTTCCAGAGTTTTCTGATATAACAGATGAAAACTTCTTTTTGTTTTTTTATTTGAGGGCAAACCATCAAATATAAAAAAAAACCATTGTAACAGGCCGCCCTGGCAGTAAAAACCTTGACGCTCTATTTCAATACTTCCTCTCAAGGACATTATTCTATCATATCTATATTTACGGTGGTAGGGCCACACACCAGCCTCGGCTGTTGCACGAATGGGCAGGCCCGTCCGGGTAAGTACCACGACCTCACAGAAGACCGGCGTAAAGTGGAAGTATGACAAATACTTTCGCGTTTCGTCTGGTGAGTGAGGTAGCCGGAGCCCAATTTTCAAAAGGTTGTCAACGCATCTGTAACTCTCGGGTGTGGCAGATGTCCACGGGCTTATATTCTATATATTCACTTAACATCAGGTGAACCGTCTGCTCGTTTGACAACTTTTCGCATAAAAAAAAAATATCATACTGGACTTTTTATTTGTCAGAGGAACAGGCGTTCCACATGATGTTAAGTGATTACCACCGTACATGGTTATCTACAGCACGTGAGAGGTACCAGATTTGTTCTCAACCTTATTACATCAGTGGAACAGGTTATTTTTCTAAATTATCTTTTTCTTTCATTTCGAATCACTGACAGAAAATTAAAATGGACAGGTAATTGTAAGTTACGTTAGTTGTAATTAACAATCAAATTGTCATTTGATTGTTAATATATCGTACCCAATGAGGAAATATTTATGATTTAATAAAATTTTGTTGTAGCTTCCATGTGATGTTGCGTCGAGGCCATTGTCGGCATGTGGGTGTTCATACACGCCAAAGGAACTAAAGCCATTAAAGCGTAACAATGGAATGAAGAGAATTTGAGGCAAGGAATTAATGGTCGACTAAAATTAGATATAAAAGGTACGAACAAAGCTTTTACAGCTCATTGTTCTATTGCAGAATAGGTTTATTCGTTTCGAGCAAAAATATGCGTGCTTTAATTTTAGATTGCACAAGAGTCAAACACAAAAAATTACTAGGCCCTAAAATTTGACAAGGAATAAATTTCTTCACGATTTTGACATAAAAGCCAACAGGCGGAAGAAGAATCGATCAAGTAACGTCATTATATAAATGTGGACATATTAGTATAAGTTTTTAGTCCACCGGTAATTAACCTTAATGTTCCCCCATACCTAAGTAATACGGGCATCACGGAATTAAGTTTATATTAAAATGTATTAATGTCGTTTTTTGCTGTTATTGGCCTTAATGTGAACAGATATTTGTCGAAGATTTGATACAAAATAATTGTTTGCACAAAACATGGAATAGGCAATATAAACTATTAATTAAAATAGTAGCATATTAGCTAAGTTGAACCCTTGTTCTCATGTTTCATTGTCCTTTTCAAATAGTTTGAATAGAAAAAGACGGGGCAGGGGAAGGCCTAACAAAAGTCTGAAACTCAGCGTTTTACAATTGTCATAATACACATAAAATATACATATAAATTTGTAGGACATCCATGTCGATTATTATCGCTTTTGTCTACGAGCCACGCATTAGATAGTATAGACCTAATTAAAATGATAAGAAGGTCTTCGAGTGTAAAAGTTTTGAACAAAAAAAAAAAAGAACGGACTTCGAAAAAATTTATTAGCACTAAAAACTTTAAAATAATTCTAAATGTAATGTAATCAAACCTACAAAACATAACCGTGTAACAAAATTTAACAATTTCTGGAATCGGTGCCAAGCCATTTATCTCTAATCTGAGCATAAAGTCATTCTCTTAACTTTGACAATTTAAACATTTAGATGGATTAGATAAATAATTTAAAAATCCTTTCGAACAAAAAAGAATGACGCAAATCGGTCAACATATTGTGACGGACTTATCCCCGAACATACATAAAGAAATATAAACATGCGAATTGATAATCTCCTCCTCTTTGGAGGTTGAAAAACGAATTTTATCCAACCTTTTGGTTGGATAAAATTCGTTTTTGGATAAAATTCCATAACAGAGAACATTACTTCAATATCTGTAACAATGTCTTTTTAATAACTTTTCGTTCTCAGTTGATTTCCTGTTAAATGTTCATGGGAAGCCATTAGCCAAACTTTAATTATTCCGGCTCCTGCTCAATTTCAAATCTTTCGTAACCTACTTTTTCTTAAGAACGTTGTAATGTTGGAAATTGAACAGCATTCTATGAAAAGAAACTTTATTTTAAGTATGATATAATATTCCGAATAATTTCAATGACAGCAATTCTACACTTTCTGATTCAAATACAGTTATACTTAAAATGATTGTGTAGTTATAAAAGTTGGACATAATAATAAGTAAATTTGCGTTAAAGATTGTAAGTTCTTTCTTTATCTCTAAACCTTTCTAGATACCTTGCTGTCTGAAAAACGTAAATACAAAGAACAGATCTTAAAATATTTTGCTTTAATGGGCAAGCTCGTCCGTGGAAGTACGCATTACGGAGTAGAAGTTATTATACTTTCGTGTTTTGATGAGTGAGTGAGGTAAAAATGGGCCGATTTTAAAAGGTTTGCACCGCATCTGCAGCCCTTTAGATGTCCCATGTCCGGGCGGCGACAATCAGTTAACATTTGCACGCTTGCCATCTTTTCACATTTCAAAAACAAACCTTATACGCGTTTATTTTTTATAGTAAGCAGTACAATTTTTGTGGCCCTGGGAAGCACGTAAGGGTCCTTTGTGCACTTTTTGCAAAAACAAATAAAAAAAAATTAAACTTTTCGTTTCAGCCCGCATCTGGCTTTTTGCAGAACTTCCATGTCTGATGAATGCGCTCGTGCTTAGTTCTGCACAAAGGCTGTGTCTACACAGTAGTTTTGTACTTAATTTGTTCTGAGTTATCAGAGATCTGATTATGTTTAGTCGGTTGTTGTTACAATCTGATGATTAAGTTCATTTAATATCAATTCTAAGCAAATTTTGCCAATTCGTAAAAGATCTTTTAATCAAATTTTAATTATTAACTATTTAAATTAGCTTTATATGACTCTGTTTGTCGTAATTGACTTTGAGTTTGCTGAATAAAATGCTAATTTCGATACCTAATGCATGTTCCTGTTACAAGAGGCTAGGAAGACCCGATGTGGCGAACTGTTCTAAATAAAAAGCAGGAGCTCCCGGAGGCTGACTCCGGCCGCATTCTGATGAGGCATGTGACACGCGCGCTCCACTATTTGGACGCGATAAAAAGGTCCTCCACCGTTCATTGGCTCCCATTCTCGGCGACGAGCACTCGGCTGCGGAGCGTAAATGCGGACGTCGCCAATGAGCCCGCGACTGCGGCCCGACACGACACTAAAAGCCCCGCGGTTTATTGTCGCACGTGTAACGCAACACTCGCAGGATGCTTAGGCAGAGCCCTCTCGGTTTCTTCTAGTCTCGGGCACTGCGTGAACATCGGTTCGCTTCATTTTAAAATATATCCATTATTTTGAAGAGGCACTTACGTGCGAGAGGCTCGAAGAGTTTTTACGTGAAAGGAATAATTAATAAAGAGTGTTATCGTGTAAATGTATGTGTAAAAATGAGAGACACTGTTCATCTTATATCACTTTTTGGACGCCTTCTTTTATCCTTCTCATGGCTTGTTAACTCTTATGAGAAGTTAGATTTTGCCAAACAATTCTATTGCTTATATCTAGATAGTTTGGATGATGTGATCATGACAACGATATTGAAGATCTCTTATGCAATTGAAATGATCCAGTATTGACTGAAACAGCTCCAAGGAAAGTGGCAGTCGCATCGGCGGTTGCTGATCCGAATTAAATATAACTAAGAAAAATATCTGTGGTATGTATAGGCCACGCAATAGTCCTCGGTGTTGCACGAATGGGTATGCCCGTCCGGGTAAGTACCACAACCTCACATAAGACCCAGGTGAAGTGGAATTAATAAATGGAATTAATAATTAAGCACCTTTAATAAAAGGTAGCAACGCATCTGCAACCATGTTGCAAATGTTAATGCCACCAGCTCACTTGCCTTCTTCGTTAGAAGGAGTTCCTCCCTTTAGAATCATTGAGGTCATACTCGGTGGCTGCATGCCCTAACGTGCTGATAGACTGCTTAGAATGAACCATCACATTACCGCAACACTGAACTTCATCAACAAGAAAATGTCAAAAAAATGGCTCAGCGAATCAGCTTTTATATTTAAAGTTATTCAGTTTTAGCTATTAATTATTTGCATCGAATCTTTGTTTCATAAACTCATTTACTTATTTATTAACATCTTTAGATTTTCTATGTCTGTTTATCCATCTGTCAATGATAGCGGTCTCCACACTTTCTCTCTGTTGTAATTATCATACTATTATATTAAAGTAATTAAATACTTATAATTATATTAACTAGTGTAGTTTTTATTAGGGTACTATTGTGCTCCGAGCCGTATACCAACAACCTATGAATTTTCCCATCCAAGTTCCCTAAATGAGGCAGTGCAAACGGCGCTTGGCTCTTATCCCTCAGAATGTAGGCCATTGTAAACGTGTTCGCGTACGAGCAAACATACAAAGCCCCTTATGAGTTGCACGTTTTCTATTCTCTCCAAGTGGCTGTTACTGCCGAGGCGGGCAGCTGATGCGCAGGGGCGATGTTATCGTGCGAGAATGCCGCTGGATCTGTGAACCAAATAAAGTAAGATAAGTCGTTCACATTGTACGCGTGAAAGCGCCACTTCGGATAAAAAGTGTCGCATTTGCGCAGAGCGGCCGGAACTGTACCTACTTGTATTCAGAGCGAGTTGCATCGCTTATATTTTTCTACAGATACCTGCACACTTTTCCACATCAATTTAATAACAACGTTTTTAGTTCGTTTAGATACTAATACTGTTAGCTGCGATATGAGTTGTAATTTTAGAAGGTAACTTTATTTTAGTAATGCGTTAGTAACTATACATCAGTTGATATACGTCCCTAAAGCGTTAAGTCCGCGTCGCACGGTCGGTTCACAAGAGTCACGAGTTCTTAATAAGCTATTCAAATGGATGAATAGACTTCCATCAGGGAATGGAGACTCAATTGGGGGCTCCATCGGCTCGGTCATTGAGTGCACGATTTGTTCGTCCCCCCCCCCCCCCCCTCTTTCGTTCCTTATAACATGGCCAACGTACGTAATATTATGTCCTTTGACACATTCAGAAGTAGTTACAGAACAACGAAGTTAAAAAAAATAAATGCTATTTTATTCATTTCGCAAACTTTCATAACAGTAAGTGGTAATATTTTCTATGGTTGTTATATATCTTTTTTCACTGCAGTAGAGCCACGGAATATAGTTAATAGTTGCGTCCGTGGAAGTACCTTCGTCTCAGAGAAGTGCAGCTTGAAGTTGTTGTATTCAACTTGTGCGTTTCGTCCGGTTACTGAGGTGCGGAGGCCAGGAGTTTTAGCTATCCATGAGCTGTGGTAATCATTTAATATAGAGTTGAAATTTTGCCATTCTCTGTTAGAAATCAAGAAATAAGGCCAATTGGCCCTAACTGAAACTTGAACGATTTTATTCCAAATAAATTTCAAACATTAATTTGATATTTGGTCTTGTTACACCTACTCATTATTGCTACGTATCAGTTATTTGTGGCATTAACACAATAATGACGTTTTTGAAGAGTCTATTTTTTTAACATAAAAACGTACACTTTAAACTGGTATAGGGGAGCAAATCCTTCCGCTGAGGAGGGTGGCGGTGCAGCCTCTGTCACGTTGTTACGATCTCAATTGGCCCTGATGCGGTGCACGGCCAGAGGTCTCAAATGCGCCCTAACGAGGCCGCGGGGCTTCTGCTTAACAACGGTGCCAATTGGTTTTAACTACACGCGAAATTGAGTGTGCCGTCGTTCTCCTCGCGTTTACAAGATCAAAATCAAAATCAAAATCATTTATTTATCGACATAAGAAACTTACATTTCATTTATCAATAGTCATATTTTTTGTAAATCTACCACCGTTTCGTAATGAGGTTCCTCTAGCGGAGAAGAAACAGGCGAAAGAAACTCCGTAGGTATCCTCTTTTTTGTAATTATTTTTTTTTCTTAACAAAAAATTCAAAAATTATACAACTGATTTTTTTCCTTTTAGAAATAGCTTGGGATCGATCAACTCATTCCCAGGGGTTATTGTCATTAATGTATTCATTTGTATTATAATAACCCTTTTTATAAAGTTTTTCTTTAATAAATTTCTTAAACCTGTTAATAGGCAGGTTTTGCGCATTTACTGGGATTTTGTTGTAAAAGCGTATACACCGCCCCATGAACGAGTTACTTACTCTATGGAGTCTAGTAACTGGCATTACAAGCTTGTGTTTGTTCCTAGTGTTCACATTATGTATATCAGTATTCTTATCAAAATTATTAATATTTCTACGCACATACATAACATTTTCATATATATATATATTGAGAGGCTAAGGTTAATATATTTATTTCTTAAACTTCTCTCTCAAAGATGCATTCAGATCTAGATTATAAATAGCTCTTATGGCCCTTTTTTGCAAAATAAAAATTGTTTCTATATCGGCCGCGTGCCCCCATAGCAAAATACCATATGACATTATGCTATGGAAGTAACTAAAATACACAATTCTAGCCGTTTTTACATCAGTTAGACATCTTATTTTCCTTATAGCATACGCTGCAGAACTTAGTCTATTCGCAAGTTTGGAAATTAAGAAAGAATTTCCTTTGGGTACATCACCTCAAACATTTTAATATAATTAAGTGAAATTGATTTCACGTCTAATGGAGTTTATTATTATATAGTTTAGTTTGAAAAAAAGCCCAATTGATAATATGAAATAAATAAATAATAAAATGAATATTTTGCGACCTATATTACATTACACATCATTATATTCTAGTCCCAAACTAAGAAAAGCTTGTACTATGGACACTAGGTAACTGATAAACATACCTATACATACTTGTCTTTTGTAAATAATATTATATTATAGATATATAAACGCCCAGACAATAGAAAAACTATGTTCACCACACAATACTTTTCCAGTAGTGGGGATCGACCCCACCTTTAGCCGTAAAATAAATAACCGAGCATAAATGTTAGGTAGTGATTTTTGCACGTAAGTGCTCACTTTAGGCAGTTACTGGGGTAAGAGTTTAGGACTTCGGATAGACAAGTTAAGAATTTCTACCATTAGTACAAATTATATATTTAGCTGGAAATGATCGTCGCATAAAACTTTGAAATACAGGAAACAGCCACCAACTTAATTTTTGAGAAAATCAAAGTAAGCCGCTTACGTAACTCAAGTGACACTATCACGGTACTTGGTCTTTTTTGTTGACAGCATACGTATCGCGGATTAAACTAAATCCACCCTTCAATGTGACGCATTACGCCAGCGCCGATAACTGCGTGAGGGTCATAATTTGTCGGTCATTATAAGTTTCGCCGTCATTATTTACGTCTGTGGGAACGTTCTGTACCATATCCTCACAAATACATTGGTGCATTAACCAACGCAAACAAATACCCAGCAATAATAATCAATATCAATATTTACTTATTCGCGTGGGCATGAAGGATCGTGCTCGCATGTAGGTAGGTAATACAGCATTACGCAAAATGAACTAACCGAGCAAAACGCTTTACGGCGATTTACATTCGTGTATTCGCTCGTGTCTTATTATAGCTGAAATAAATATAAAAGAATAAAGATAATACATTGTTCATAGCCGGTAGCGTTCTCCAATAACCGTTATAACATTTGAATTGTGCTAAAATAATCAAATCATGTTTATGCCATTGCCATATTTATTGTGGCTCAGGATCGTACTTCGTGACAGTCAATGGGGGAGGCCTATGTTCAACAGTGGACTCAAACAGGCTGAAATGATGATGATGATGATTTATGCCAAACTAAATATATGACAGCCCGTAAATACAAGAGTTTTCAGTAATCCCATATAAATGCAAGTGGAATCCGAATTGCATTAAGAACCGTTTCCTACTTCGATGATTGAGTTAAAGCTCAAATTTAAAGGAGGCAAATCACTACTTAATCTTTTAGTGGATACTCGGGGTCTGTGTGGCATGAGTCTGAGTGCCGGAGCCTCAGGGGTGAACGACCCCTGTGCGGTGCCCACGGCTGATGGCCGAAGCCACGAGCGAAGCCGCGGCGCGCTGCGGTTTGCAGCGAGACTGATGGCACGGCCAACGGCACAACTGCGCACTCGGTGAGCGTAATACTTAAGCTAAGACTTTATCTTATTGCTTTCACGCCTCATATTGTTGGCCGATGAAAGGTGACAAAGAGCCACGATTTTTATCTTCTTAAGGTATCCAGGTAGTCAATATCTATCAGAGTATATTTATCAGGTATATAATGCATTGTAAAATCATGAGCGACAAACATTACTTCTTTGTCTCGTGACCATAGCTCAATCAGCGAACCACCTGCAGCTGTTCCTGGAAAGGCAATAGGGCAACGACTCTTGTGTCTCGAGTTGAAGTCCTACATGGTTTTGGACAAATATACGTAACACATTACTTGACAAAAAAGTGAGATACCATTTTTAATCCTATGAAACAATCCAAATTTATTCTGTTTTTATCAATATAAAATGACTAACACAAAGGAAGTAATGGAAAATCGTCATAAAAATATGAAAAATAAGAGCAACATAGTCAATGGATTAGTCGCTATTTATTAATACTAATTTTCAGGGTGGATTACGTAGACTTCGCATTGTGAATGTTCGTGTTCACTCGAAATACACCCTTCACGTGTACACAATAAAATTGTCATAAATATCGCATTTACATGAAATGCACGCCCATAAAGCGTGCTGCCCAAAGATATGCGCAATAAAAAAGACATTTTGCATGTTACGACCAGTTACGTCTCACGTGGCGGGGTGTCGTGTTGGCGGGTGAGTTCCTCCTTCCTCCGACCTCTAACTACGCTTCATAGTTAACAGTGTCGGCTGAGGTCTCTACTATCATTGTTCTACGTATATAAGTCAGAATCTATTTTGTATCCAAGTCGTTTTCAAAATGGATCATTATTCATTTAGAAAGTGCTAACCAGTACATAAAGATAAGATAAGTCAAAAATTTTCAAACGAAATAGTGCATATAGCTAAGCGATGAAGAACTACTATCGCTTAGATATGTACTTACAACCTAAAACAAAAGGTTTAACACAAAGTGGCGCAGTACAAGGAGTGGGCAGGTCGCAAAAAGCGCGACAAGAAATGACTTAATTACACGCAGTTGGCAGTTGGCAGTTGGCACGGCCCGCCGCTCTCGGGCCTTTAATCGCCATCACTTCTTTTTACTCCTAATGGATGTAGGCTGAAAGTGCTGTGGCTCAAAGATTCTAGATTTACTCACTTACTTTGCTAATAAAAATTTAGCCAAGGCTGCTCTATATTTACTAAAAATGTACGTAGTTAAGTTCTTTTCTAGATGCATTCTTAGTTAATTCGGCCTATGCGACAAGTCGATTCATCGAATTTGAAACCACATCGCGGTGGACTACACGCCAAGTTTGTATCATATACGTACCTAGGGCGTATCGTGTTTGAATGTAGAGATGATGAGAGCTCTGAGACATTGCCGCTTTATCGGATATTATGTATATCACATATCGATAGACGCCGTCATTGACCGTTATTTAAATGTCCGTTCATTTTTGAAGAATGAAACTGTATATTTGATATCACAATAAAAAGTAAGAAAAGTGTTTTGTGATGTCAAGCCAGGTACTTAAGTGCAGCTTTAATTTTCAAATGGCTATCCATTTGAAAATTAACGCACTATTGTGTACACGAATAAATATATTAAAAAACAAACAGTGGGTAACATATGTAACATAAAAACTAACCACGTGGTGAAGTTTAATAGTCTGAGTAGAGACTGCCATAGAGCATAGATTATATAAGATTATATATAAATGGTATAGAAGAAGAAGCAGTAACATCGCATAGGGCATTTCATATGTAAATTAAGCTTCATAAATTAAATGATTAATGAAATTATTTAAAAGTTGGGACCGCGTTAGCTTTGTCCACGTAATCGTTCAGGGCTCGAGTAGGAAGAGTTGATCAGTGGGTCCCGCTAGGCGCTTGTCACGTTGTGGATGCTGTGTCCGATCTAAGCGAGGTGGGCTATAATGTTGTTATAGTTTTTTAAACTTCAGACAGACCTACATATATTGAGTTATTGAAATACTTTCTGAAATAAAACAACAGTTTAGGCAGGATAAGATATCGAATGGAAATAATCTAAAAGTAATTTAGATTTCGTTTATTTAAAAAAAAAAACTATGTACGTATGTCATAGTTATAACTTTTGAAAGTTTTCGTTGGCTGTAACTGTAATATGTAAAAAATATATTGTTCTCGCACCTACTATATACAGTCGTATATAATTTTTACTAACATGCGTCATATTGCTTGATCATAATCGTCTACTTAACTTATATGAGGTAATCACTTACTAAAGGAACTACTCAATTGAAATAATAATTACGTCATCTTGAAGTTTACGGCGCCAGTCACTTTCCAGATTGGGTAGGAGGTAATGTCAGTAAGTTTACACATTTGTTAATATTTTTATTACTGATTTTTATAAAGTCGGTTGCGTTTTTTTGTTAATTTTTGCCAACAAACTGACACTAATGTATTATGGATGAAATCCAGCCTTGCCAGTATACGTACTGTTGCATGTTAACCTAACGCAATTGGCATGAGACTCGGTGGAACCGGGGACGCAGTCATGTGTGATTTCATTAAATCACATCGAACCAACCTTCCGTGCACCCGGTAATTCCGAAACGGAAAACGATATCTGCGTGGCCCTTGCTCAGCGTTGTACCTACGTTGACATCGTCGCTGAATTGCAAAACAAGCTCTATGGGCTAGCAGTAAGGGATATTTTGCCACGACCCCGCTCAGTACACGGGGGCCTTCGCTAATGCCGCACATCCGCAGGGCCCGCACAGGGCCCGCAGGGTTGACGTGAGCATACAAACTAACAGCGGGACCTCTCCCGGGGAACGAATGCGGCACTTTCCTCTCCTACGAGTACTTTTAATTATGGAACAGTGTTTGTTTATACTCGTATTTGCGAGGGTTAGTTTATTAAGTCTACAAATTCAAAAGTATGGGTCCATCACTACATAATGAGAAATCCTTAATATTTTTGTATGCAGATTGCAAGTATGACCAGCTAATCGTTTTTCACACCATTTTCATTTAATAGCGAGGAGGAAAGTTTAAGGTCTTTAAAATCCTGAATAAATTCAAGCGCTCATGTTGTGTATCGGTCATCGTGTGAATGCTGTGAGCGCTTTCTCTGTTTTACAGCTTTACATACCTCATTGTATTTATAGTAAAAATAACTTTTACAAGCACATAAATTCATCAAATGAAAGCAGACCGTAGCCAACAAGACTGATTAATGTCTGTTTTTGAATTGCTACATAAAGAAAGTTGTACGCAAAGCCCCTGGGAGATGTTAATACATTGCGGATATCCGTAAATGTACAATTAAGGAAGGCATTAATACGCGGCTGTAGTTTCTGTGAATGAACTCACTCCTAAATAGTGTCATTAAAAGATTAAGTATGTTACTATAAGAATTATTTTCCAATAATATGCTGCAAACCGTGGACTTGATAATACTAATATAGAATTATCGAGATTGAGATTGTAGATGGATTTATTATAACGAATGGATTGAATATTCTTGTAATGGACTACAGAAAGATTTTCCATAGATGAAGGAGGCATTTCGCATTCTGCTTTGTGCCGAGAGGTTAAGGTTGTCGAATGATTAAAAGCGGATGCAAATTCTTATTGACTCCTTTTAATTAGAACTCGGTGAGACATGCGCATGACATGCTATACATTATGTTGGTGTCCTAAATATAAATGAAATACTTATATATATGAAATACCGTCTCGAGGCACCGATGGAATGGTGGTTGGTTTAACAGTGGCATCTGTGAGGCCACGCAACAACTTCGGCCTCACAGATGACCAGCGTGAAGTATATTACTTTTGCGTTTCGTTTGGTGAGTGAGGTAACCGGGGCCCACTTATTTTAAAGGTTGTCAACGCATCCTCAAACCCCGGGTGTTGAAGACGTCCATGGGCGGTGGTGATCCGTCAACGTCAGGTGAACAGCCGCGCCGGCTCGATTATTACATAAAACTTATTACATTAAACTTATTACATTAAACAAAACAAAGTAGCATAACTCTATCTTTAACAAAATATATTTCTTTGTAAAAATGCTTGTATAGTGCTGTTATATACGTTAGAAGAAAATGTAATGGCGGAAAGTTATTATTATAACAATATAATAATGACATGTCACATTATTCGCAATCGCAAAGTGACATTAGCGCAATTTTAAAAATTGCAAAAAGATCCTCCAATTGAGTTTGTAGAAATGAATATAATAAAGAAAAATCTACAAATATAATTTACGATTACATTTATTCTTTTAATTAATTATATTTATTAATTCCGTATTTCCAGACCGATACGTCTTAGGGACCTTCAAGAAGAGAGCCTATTCCTTACCTTAAAGTCAGGCAACGCAATTGCGACTCAACTGATGTTGCAAATGTCCTGGGCGGCGGTGATCACTTACCATCAGGCGACCCGCATGCTCGTTTGCCTCCTTTTCCCATAAAAAAAATTTCTTATTGCTTGTCCATAGAGAAAAGCAATAAAGTAATCCAAAAACATAAAAATTCACATTTTAAGTCTCACCTCAACTACAGACTCAAGATTAAATTTTAGGTGCTGCCATAAAATTTACTTCAAAACCCATTCAAAATAAAACACCACTCATAATAAGTATGCATAAAAAATATTCATGAGAACATAATTATATTCATCTACTTGATTCGGAATATTACAATTATATGATATAATAATAGTACATAATTATGATAGTTGTACCTATATGTGTGATATATTATGTCATATTAGTATGAAACAATTTGATGTATAAGATATGCCTGCTTGTTTAATAAAATATTTTTACGATAAAGGGTATATACGCTTTAGACAGGAAAGATAACCTGATAACGGTACGAACAGATTTAGTTTCTAATGAATGATGATAGTAAAAAAGATAATGATAATTGCATGATTAAACAAGTTTTTCATTTCCTTTGGTACAGTATTCGGTACAAAATTTACTCACACACTAACTTCCTGACGAATAAGATAGTTGAAACTTTAAGCATGCCTCGCTTTATTATTTGTTTGAGCTCCTAACTTGAAACATAGCTTAAAATGACGAAGCCAGCGTGTTTAAAATGCATTGGTGCCATTCGCATCCTACCACATTGTATAGTTGAAAGGTTTCACTGTAAACTTAACATCTATCATTTGCAACATCGATACATTTGGACCTCTCATCAATACGTGTCGTGTTTCGCATCGCAATTGGCGAATGGATGGCGCAGCGGGCCGTCCCGTTCCGTTACGCGTGCGATAATTATGCTTTTGTGGCAGTTGTCTGCGGAGTGGCGGCGAGCGGGCGATGCAAGGGGGCGCCCGGAAGCGAGTCGCTTTGATGGTGTTAGCGGCATAGGTAGGTACCCTTTTGACTTATATTGTAGTAAAGCGCGCGAACGATGTAGCGTGTCTAGTTTCCACGACTGCTGCTCTAGTTATAGTAACACTTGTATTGAGTAAGCCAAACATCACAATAACAATTTGTAGGCCACTCAAAATTTTAGCTCGTGTCGAGATCAAACCCACAATCCAGCGCGTAATGACAACAATTAGCGAGTTGACGTCATCCGTGCGTTATAAAATGGTCAGCGCAAACCTACGGATTCTTTATTTTTCCAGATTATATATAGACTAATTATAATGGGAAGTCCAATTTCAGCGAAACAACGCTGTTTATATGAAATACATTACCTACCTTAATTAAGATGCTGGATCTTAATTATATGTTTATGTTTTACCTTGATTCCACTTTTAATCATAAAAGCTGTATTAACAGAAGAGATCACAAAGTAGATAGTAAAGTTTTTTCTACCTGTTATGTGGATGTTACCGGGCTCTCCTGCCACCTGTGCAGCGCTCGTGGCTGCCCAATAGATTCTTTGCATGAACTCAAAGCGACCGATGTGTCCTATTAAATGAATGCAATTAGCGTCGCCCTCAGCTGCTGCCTCCACCGGATGTAACAGTTTCACATACACAATTCATTAAGCTAGCGAATAAAGACACAAGTAGCAAGATAACATCGAAAAACGTTACTCATGCTGTATTACCTACCTATATGTATAAGACATATCTTACGCACAACAGAACAACTAACTATCACGTAAATAATATTACAGCCATAAGTTATCGGGATCGACAAAACTTTGAAGACAAAACGAGTTCATATCCGGTCATCCGAAATTGAACTTATAGAAAAGTTATCATTAGTTCATTAAAATCCGCATCCGTCATTCGGTCCTTGATGAGCTGAGTAGTTCGGTGAGCGTCTGCGGACGGTGAATTGTTTTATATTGTTATACACCTTAAACCAATGCCACCTTCTACAAAGGAACGATCATTTACGATACATGCAAATTGTCTCATGATGAAGTCACGTCTGATAATAATTAACACAATCTACATAATCTTTAAATATATAATCGTTGGTGAGTTATTTATGGCGTCTCCGTTATGGCGTAACTTCTAAACTTCACAATTTGCTAGATTGAGGTCATATTAACATAATTTTTTTATAAAATAAATATCTACATATTTATGTTGTAGAAACGTTGTTAAAGACAGACACTAAGATAACTCGCTAGATCGTCCAGCGGAAAGGGAATAACAACGATAAAGTCTTTCATAATAATTTCTCATCGCTTTATGAAAGAGTCCGATAGCTCACCTACAATAATTTTTTTATTGATTTTAAACTTTCACACTAGTCTTGTATATTGATCGCTGCCTGCATTAATGCCTGACGCATTCATTACGCGTCAACCGACTGATTGATGCAGAGACATAAAAAGAAGGTTTAAAAGTTAAAGACAAAGTTGTACTTATACATTGACATCTATAAATAAATCAATACTATAATGAATAATATTGTTTAACCTCATACGTATATAAGGTAAAGAAAAGTAACAACCTATATGTCATACAAGGGTTATATCTTTGAATTTGTTTTTCTTTTATTTATTTTTTATTATTTCTAAAATATGCAAGTTTCCTCACGATGTTATCCTACACCGCTAAGCACTTGATAAGTCAATTGCAATAATCAATTTCGTTAATGCCAGCATTGGGATTTCAACTCAGGTTGCTTGAGTATACTAAATTCACAGCGAGCTCCGGGACACTGAGCTATATCAAATATACACAAATATATATAGTACATATAATAAAATACGATTGATCTTCCACCTTATCCAGAAATAGCAACAAGGTCAAGAAAAGGTTTAAATAAAATGTTTATGTATTGTTTTGAGTGTCAACACGAAACTACAATTTATAACTCAAATTGTATGAATAAGAAACTGCTACTGCAAATTTAACAAGACAATATAAAACTTAAATACGCCTTGTACAATATACAGCGTGTCGTTACAACCGCGACAATAAATGACCACACGTCTAACGCTACTTGGCAATAATCATAAAAAAATTTAAAACGTTAAAAAATCCATAGTTAAAAAAAATATTTTTCAATCAAACTAATTAAATAAAAAAGAAACAAATTTTGTATCACCTATACAACTACAACTGACTGATTCATACATTCAGAGACTTTTTCATTCGTTGCCACAACGTCGCATTACAAGTCTCTCCTTCTAACAGTATGTTTTATCTCTTTTTAATTCATTCAACCCATTCATATGCTTTGTGGCCTTTACCAATGAACTTAACGTTACAGTTTTATACGTGAGGGTGTTCTAAAAATGTTTGTTTTGTAAAATTTAATAACTCGGTAAATATTGATGTTTAAAGAATGTAAATGCATAATACAATTTTAAAAAGTTATCCTCTATACAGCGTGTCGTTACCATCGCGACAATAAATGAACACACATATAGGGGATAAGTTTTTAAAGTTGTATTAAACATTTAAATTCTTTAAACATCAATATTTACAGAGTTATTAAATTTTCCAAAACAAAGAATTTTAGAACACCCTTACCTAGAAAAGCGCAACGTAAATTTCATTTGTAAAGGTCACAAAGCACATGAATGGGTTGAATAAATTTAAAAGAGATAAAACATACTGTTAGAAGGAGAGGCTTATAATACGACGCTGTGGCGCGAGTTGTATAGGTGTTACAAATTTTGTTTCTTTTTTACTTAATTAGTTTGTTTGAAAAATATTTTTTTTTAATTATGCATTTTGTTTAACGTTAATATTTTTGATGCTAAATTCCAATCACAAGACCACTATAAACTTATTTTCATGTATTAAGACAACAAACATGGCTCAAAGACAAGTTTATAATATTTATTTTCCTAAAATTTGTTTGTAGTTGAATTCCTGCCTTGCCAATAATGGAGGCCACAGGCGGGACGTTTAACCACCGTGACAGATTTTTTTCACCGCTTCCTCATTGTTCACACTTAATTACGTAGCGTGTAATGAGGAGCAAAGAAAAATGGAGGCTAATCAACCGTTTCAGAGCCTTTTTGTTTTCTTTTTTAAAAAAGATCGTCTATCGAGTAGGATTTGGGCACGGATATAGCGTAGCATAAATTAACGAATTGACGATATTTAAGTAGTTATGTTTAAGGGAATGTTCCCATGACATGTGTTACTCACATTCCTGTAATCTACATTTTATTTTGGCCGCATCGCTATTGAGCGAATTAAAAGCATGTGGAGAGACGAGTTGCAATGTCACGTTTAATGATGCGTTAATTATTTCGTATAATGGCAATCGCAAATACCCCGTTAGCTTTGAAGGCGAGAGGCTGTAAACCCATAAACTGACCAGACGCCCATCACCACGGTGAAGGAAGCAACGGCCGTAAAATAGCGTGTTCGGTGGCTGCGCGAAATGCGTACGAGGCGCGCACTTGTTGGGCGGAAATCGGTTAGCCGGCGACATTTCGCCACGAGATGCGTTTCCTGTGCCTATAATACCATCTCAGAGATGTGGTAACCTCGATAAGTAATTAAATTTAAGAGGGCATTTAGCACTGCTTCACTGTTAAAAGAATATATTTTAATATTTTCTACGCAGTTTATGATTAAACAAGTAGAAATCCCATTGAATACTCCAAAATAAAAAAAACTGTAATAGAAAATACTTATATAAATGGAGCATTCAGCATGCGGACACTGCAATTAATATGCCAGTGCTATCGGACTGAATTCGTTCTTATTTTTCACCACAAAATTTTTTGTAATCATTTTAGTTTCATGTAAGTCGCAAAGTGACCCAGTAGAAACATAGTGAGTAACATAAAACGAAAAGTCTCATTTACGTTTCCTTTCACCTAATCCGCTATTTAATTTAGCTTCTAATATTAATTCTAATCCGCTTTTTTTTTTAAATAAAAAAAACAAATTGCTACATAGTTTAATGTCTTTATTTTGTCATAACCGTTTGTAGTTTTTGTCGCCCTGCAATTCAGTTTTCAAATAAAGGGACACAGTGTATAAACAGAAACGCATTAACTAAAATAACAAACGGAGAGATAATTACGTGTGTAGAGAACGCAAACAACTGGCTGCCCTGGGTTTGTGAAAAATGTAGCGAGCAGCGAAATGAGATCGTAAATACGATAAGCACTCATTCTTGTACATATTTGATTAATGGCTGCGGTACGTTATGAAAATATAGCTTACGTTAACTTCGGTAATTCGTAGGCCTACGTTCATGAATGTATAGCCGCAGGCTTTTAAAGTAGGTAATTGATCAATGAATGGGATTTTCAAAACAAATAAACGATTGCAGGGTTTTGTCGAGTACATGAAGTTTGATACTTTTTTGCTTCATTTATACATCTCAGGTGTGATCATCAGATAACATGCGTTATTATCCGTCCACAATGACAAGTAGACTTCGACGGCAGCATGGGCATGGTGGGTATAGATACGTGCGGACGTGCGCTTGACGGCTCACATGCGTCATGCGCGTCTCAGCATTAAACGAGGGCGCACATTTACGGACCGGGAGTGAGGTGGACGCACATTGTGGCAAAATTTATAGTTCACACGCCTGTGACGTCACGCGACATGTGCACAGCGGGCGTCGGTGGCTCATTAGGACACGCTTAACACAACCGCTTCTTTAAATTCTTATGAGTGCTCAGATGTTGATGGGAATAAAGTGACTATTGAGATGATGGCAATTAATCACATCCACGCCCATCAAATAGTTGCTGAAAAAGATCACAAATAGTGATTATAAATTAAAATATGTAGAAAAAGTGCGAAAAGATTGTCGCCGCTGTGGGAATCGAACCCACGTCTTCGGCATTCGCGGCCTGACGCTCTAGCCACTGAGCTAAACGGCTGATTACCACACCGACGAAAATCTTAACGCATTCTTCCACATTGTTTTCTTAGCATTTGAAGCAATGCT